AATCGACGTAATCGAAAAATATATTTGACATTCGAACGTACCTCTTAAATAAAAAAGGAAGAAAACCAAAAACAGAAAGAGAGATGGAAAATGTAAAAATTTCCCATCTATACGAAAAGAATGGTTATTGTCAGACACTGCTCTCTTTCACACGTTGCACGTTTTTCAGTCACATCTCCTTCTGTTCTTACAGAACGGCGGTCGTTAAGATCGTATCGGTTATTAGACCACTTGGTATCAGCAGAATTCGCCGTTTCCTATGCGGTAAAACACATTCGTGATTTCACCACCGGCCGACTAAGTGGTTGCATCGGCCAACAATAGACGGAGCGGCGCGCTTTTCTCCGCGTGGAATTCGAGTTACGTTCGAAGCGGCATCGAGGAGAACAGTATCGACTTCTCGGCTGCTTTCGCGTGGCCGCATCCGGAATCGATCGACGTGACGGGAGATACGTAAACAGGATACGATCACTGACTCACACGGCGTAAACTCACCGGTCATTAGACCCGTTTGTAGACTGACGCGACGGCTCGACCAGCTGGAGATGCAGTTTTACGCGAAAATTTATGCACGATTAGAGGCCCAGACATCTTTCGAGGCTGCGATTAATTTCTTATCGACGCGTGAGCTCTTGACAGCCATTACACCGAAGTGGCCATTAATCCCGCGTTCGTGGACGAGCCTTCACGGGAAATCACGAAATGACGTGTTTGAATAATTTGTGAAAAATTGATTTTCATCATTAATTCTTCTCTTCGTTCGTGAATCATCTTACAAAATTGGAAACAGATATTATCTCGAAGCAGATAAAATAGATAACGTTTGAAAGTAGAATCGAATGCTGTGTGAAAATCCGATTTTATTATTCATTCTTCGTTTACTAAGATTTTTAAATATTTTGAAAAAAAATGTTTGAATCTTTTATTAAAATTTTATTTTGCCATTAGTCACTCGTTCGTGAATATTTTGAAAAATCTGAACTAAAAATATTCTAATTCTACATAAAAATTCTGTTTTATCATTAATTCTTCATTTTTAAATATTTTAAGAAATTTTTAAATGTTGCATGAAAATTTTATTTTACCATTAATCCCTCATACGTGAATATTTAAAAAATATTTTTACGGTAAATGTTCGAATTGCGAATAAAAATACGATTTTGCCATTAGTGGTCTTGTTCGTGAAAATAAAAATTTTTTAAGAAAAATCGTATTCTACATAAAAATTCTGTTTTACCATTGAACTCTGAACATTTTTTAAAATTGGGTTTGGAGGTATTCAAATTTTCTTTCAAATTTTGCTCAATTGATTGCCAAGACTATGTTCAAAAACATCGCTAATCTGTTTTCTTGCAGGTGCCTGTTCTATCTTATCATTAATTTTCCATTCGTGAACAATAAGAAGTCAGCAAAAAGAATATTCGAAACCTGCATAGAAATTCAATTTCACCATTAATTTCACATTCGTAAGTATTTAAACTAATTTCGAAAAGTAGGATACGTATTCTACATTAGAAATCCATTTTACCATTAATGTCTTGACCCAGAGCACTTTAAGATTAGGTAAGGAAGCGAATTTTTGTTAGATTTCTGCTTGATCGATCGTTGAACCAAGATCACGTTCAAAGACGTTGCTAACCTCCGCTTTTTCCCGCAGGTACACTTGCTCAGGAATGAGATGGTAGTGACTTGCTAAAATTTAATCTACTGCGGCCAGCGAGGAAAACGCTCTGATTCCTCAAGTAATCAGAACATGGCGATCAGCGAGCTCTCGTGCTGAACAAGATACGAAAATGAATTTCGATACATAGCTGTGAACAAAGGACCGTAAGAAAAAAGAGGAATCGGAGAAGCGTGGTAAGAAGGATCATAACGTTCGGGGGCCCATGAAAAGTAATTTGGCAAAGATACTGTGCCGAAACGTTTAACGAGTGGAGAAAGTCGAACAAATATAAAAGGAACAACAAACGAAAGTAGACTTCGCGAAAAAAAATTGCAGTCCCTGTCCTTGTATCTTGCTCTGTAAGTATCCAACTCTCGATTGTCCTATTTAACCTTCTCTTTTTTCTTTACAGGGACAGATGTTATTACATATCATTTTCATAGTGACTGTCATTGCAATTGGTAGGACGGATGTGTAAAATTATAAACATTTTCTTCTTCGTGAAATTTATATGAATGATAAGGTGGATGGTAAGATGGTCAAATTGAAGTTAGACAGTACTGTTACTAGTACTGCCCAAAAGAGCATCTTGGAATTTTTCAAAACGTAAATAATGCGTCCAATGCACGGTTCGTATACACGGTTTATGGATCGTGGCCCATACTCGGATGCGATGGATACTCGGCCAATGGAACGTCCCAAATAATACTTTTAGTTACACATCCTACACGTACGAGGATTCAGAAAATTACTTGACGCTTTAAACAAGAGATCACAGATGTACAATTACATTTGGAGTAAATGTGTACGAGACTACATGCTTTAAAAATATCTAGTCTCTAAATTTTTTAACCATTTTAATATTTGCTTTTAAACATTAACAATGGAAAAATTTATTCAAATACAAACGATATTATTTTGTAGAGTGTAAGTAAATTTTAAAAATTTCAAAAATTAAGAGGAAATAATGAATCGACGATTATTTTCAGTCCCATAATTTTGTAATTTATACCTAATAATATTTTAAGAAACCTAATACCTAAATGAATGACAAAAATATTATATTTAAATTTTTGAGAGATTTTATTTTACAATATTAATTTATTAAACATAACCTAATTTCCATTAATAAAATTTACAATAACGTGGGTAGAAGCTTTCTTAAAATTTAAAACTGCTTTGTAGAATTACCTACTGTATAGGAATGAAACACATACGTGTACAATAAAAGAGGTAATAGTACAGGTATTATAACTGATCATTGATTGAAAATTGCAGCGAACATGGGTAAAAAGGATATTTAATATCGATATATGTAAGTAATTGATGAGATTTTCATTATAACGTCGAATTTATGAATTCTTGACAATCTGAAATGAAATAATAATTTTTATAGGTATTTTTGTAATTGTTTAATGATTTTTCGAATTCATTTTATTTTCCGCGAGTGTTCCAATGAAACTATTTCGAAATAGCAATTGAAACAGAAAATGGATTTATTGCGATGCTACAGGCTACTAGAATTACCCTTTACGTTTATTACCGTTTTACGAGCGGAATAAAATTCGATCCACAATAGTTTCGCTTCATGATCAATCCAATTCCGAAAATGTGCAATCGTGTAATAATTGTATAAAAAGAAGGAATATAAAAATGATTATGTACGTTCCAGGATTGAAATACATAAGTTTCAACGAGAAGAGAAGGTGAAAGTGCTATTTTTGTAGATTTTCAACATTTCTATGTGACACGAGATAACCTCAAAAGTGCCAGTTTGTAACACGTTCAACGCGATATTACAACCAGTTACCACTTCGTGCAAAAGTATTTTATCTTATTCCAGATAGAAATTTTTTCCACAAATCATATATTTCCTACCATTTATTCGAATAACGGGAAATATGTTCCTAAGTATGTTAGAACGAAATTCTTACTACTTTTATTCGAAATTAATACGAAATGTCAAACTCAAAGCCTAATTTTATATCGTAGGAAAAATAATAATTTATAATAATATAAAAATAATAAATAATGTTTAATTTTTTATTATCTGATCTTATCTGATCTGATCTACTGTTCGGCTGTTTATTTCTTGTGGAAAAATATGCTTCGAAATACATAAAAGTAGGTAATTGTTACGAGCAAAAATCTTCAAATATTCGTGTTAAAACGCACTAATTTAAGCTCGAAAGACAAAATGAGTAAAAACTTAATGTCTATACAGCGCTACTTTGGTAGAAATAATAATAGCTCCTCATTTTTAATTAGAGTAATTTCTTATGTAACTACCACTAAAAGATCCGAAACCACCTATTTGATGAAAAAGAAGGATATTTCGTTACAAGACGTATAAATGAGCATTTCAGTTTTTGCATAGTTTAAATTAGTAAGTACATATAACTATAGGAAAAAGTTGAATTATAATCATTTGTATATTTACTTTGAATGTTCTAACAATTTAATTCTAGACGAAATTGTGAAATTTATAAAATGTTAATTATCTAATAAGAAGACAAAATATTATAGCCCTCATGAGTAGATAAAAATAATTTGAAATTGGAAAATCCTACACTTAAATTCCGAAACTGCTCGAAATATATAAATTAAATAAAAAAAAAACAAAAAAGTAATATTATTTACTAAAATAAAAGACTAATAAACTAATTAAGAACGAAAAATACATTTCCCGTTAAAACTACTTTTCGTGATACCTGAATCTATACACATAAATCTCTCATAAATCATGAATATTAGAAGTTACCCCAAAGTTTTGAGCGATGGTGTACATACTTTGATATACTGATCGATTTATAGTAACAGTGCATAAATATTATCAAAGACTATAAATCAATGATAATTAATGGCTAAGTGTAATACTTACTTCCTCTCTATGAAATAAAAAAATTACAAATTTAAATATATATTAAATAGTATTACATTATTTAATACACAATTTATTGATATACTTACAAATTTCAGATATTAGTAATTAATTGTGATAATCTTTCTATTAGTCTAGAAGTACCTTCTTTATCTCTTATTATAATTCACAAATTAAACATAAGACTAAATAACTTATCAGATAACAGAACAGTTTTATAAGATTTATCAGACCAATTTTGTTATTGCACATTACTAGTTGTATTGACAAAAACACAATCATTACAGAGTTGTACATTTGTAATCTTTTAATTGAAATACATTCTGTAAAAGCTAAGTATGGAATTTATGTAATCTAAACTTACTCTACTTTTATCAAAAGTAAAATAATGATTGAAACATCTGTCTGACACATTTTTCTACAAAACCCTGTACATTCCATTTCCCCGTTGACAAAACAGCATCTAGGAGACAAATGCTACCAAAAAATATTAGTGTGGCGACAAGCAATTTCCAAGTGTCTCGTAAATAATCCAAGTGACGCTATTACTAAATCTGATGGAGGGGAACGCATGGTGTACAGGACTGTTGTAATTAAGGATTATTAGCAGCCATTACTTACACGCAAGCCAGCGACGCAATCATCCAGATTACCACGAACAAGGATGATAAACGCGACATGAAATAATTACGCGCGACGACACCTCGCTCAACACAGTGACGCGTCCTTCTCGATCGACCGAGCTGTCGTGCGTTTAGGAAAATGAGCGCGCCAGTGTGAAACGAGGAAGAACAGGAAGAAGAATAAGAAGATGAGAAAAGAGAAGAAGAAAAGACGAGGAAGGTGATACACGTAGCCGAGATCGAATCGAAAGAGCCTTAGCTGTGGCATTCGTGAACGCACGAACGACGCCACGAGGAGAAAGTTTCGAAGGCAGGAAGTGAAGTAGGCCACGACTTTGACCGCTCGCAAGGTCCATACTCCCAAGGCACGCTGGTTTCGCATTGCTTCCACCGCTGTACAGCACGATTCGACGACTCCATTTCGATTGATACAGCTTGTCTCCTGGGATGAGAAATAAAATGTCATTGGAGATCGTTTACGAGCACAGACATCGTTTCTTGAAAGCATTGACGAAAAATCTAGGTAACCGTGCAAGGTGACAGTGCATAATGAACTTTTGCGAAACGATCGACCGTGCGTGAATGGAAACATGGCACGAGTGACTCACCATTTCCGATCAAATGCCGAAGTTTCACGCGGTATAAAGGTATTCTACGAGTAAACATCGCATTCACGCTCGTTGTAACTGGACCACGGGCGAGGGAAACGATCGCGTTGAAATATTTGAAAGCTTCGTTCTCTCTTCAACGGTACATGTCTGTCTGACGTCAAGTATCAACGCAGGTTATCGAAATACCATCAATTTCACCGCCGTTGCTCGCGGAGATTGCCTTCTGTTTGTTCGCGTTTCCAGCTGCAAAACATACCTGATTAAAGAAACTATTCCTAGAGATATGAATGATAAAAATAAAAATTCGAACAATGTTAACTTTGAATTCATCGCGTGTGATTAGATACCTTCATGTCTGAAAGTAGACGTACACCGTTTAACAACTACGTGACCTATTGATGGTTCTGGTATTTGCATGTCTTCCTTTCCCCGATTGTACTGGGGTCACGAATTCACGGCTTTTTTATTCCTCGCCGGTGATTTCCTCGTGTTCCTTGCGCCATAACAATAGTAGGATCATTCAAGACTTGCTCAAGGTCTTACAACAATGCTAAAAATAGATAAAATCGCGTTAATGTAGTCATAAACTATCTTTTCGTTGCTACTTTATAGGTTATGTTAATATTGCTGGTAGTCAGTGATTTTAGCGTCAACGTTTTATTTATTACAAACGAATTAAGTTATCATTGGAATTATCAATATTTCGGTAATGAATGTTAACCTATATTATACGGTTCAAATGTGTGGTGTGACAATCTGTTTAATGGATTATTATGTTTATATTAAAATGATGGAAAAAAGAATCATAGAAATTGAATTTAATTTTTCGTGGTAGAAGTAAAAAGACAAATTTTTGTTAATTACTATGAAATAATCAAATTTGAAGATATTATAATATTATGAATATTATATATTTATAATATTATATTCATATTTATTATTATATATATTAATATATATTTTACATTACATTTTTTATTTTTATATTCTAGTTTTGTAATTAAATACAATGAAACAATTTAAAAGTAATATTTTGTTGTTCAAGATCTAATTAGAATTTATCGTATAATGTATAATTTATTTATACCTTTTATTATATGCAGTGAAATAAATTAGTTTATTTTATAAATTGATAACTCTTAGTTCATACCTTTTCTTAAATTTACAAAATATTTATGGAAAAAAGAATATGCTTCATATTTAGAAAAAATGTTATGATTTTATATTTATTGTACTACTTATACATATACAAATAAATAATAGTATTTCATTTATTTTTTTAAATAAATATTGGTATAAATATATATTTTCATACGTTATATATTATCTTTCTTTAGAGTAATTAATAGTGAATGTTAAAACTTAATTATGCAATTCTACTGTAATGTCAAACAAATCAGTTGTTGATCAATATTTGCATATATATTATAAACAAGTTATTATTTATAAAAGTATATGTCAAAATAAATAATACATTTACAAATTACATTTTAATATTAATAAGAAATAAGTGGTAATAAATATTAACGTAATGTTCATCAAAAGTCAATTCATTTTTGCTTGGACAAAACAATGTAATCAAAGTTTGAAGATAGGTAAACATAAATTTTCCTGACTATCATCTGTAACGTGATAAGTTAAAATCGAGTTATCAACTTATCTATATATTATTTACTCATCTCTCGTTCTATTCGTTTAGATCTTTAACATACGGGTATCATTTCTAATGATCATGGCAATAAAAACAAAACATATATACCTTGTAATAAAACACATACAAACGAATACGAAATACATCATTGAAATTAAAAATCATAACAAGCACAGATCCGTCGTGTAATTTCCTCTACGTGACAGAAAGTGAAAAGCAAAAGAAAAAAGGGCATAGCAATGACTGGAATTTATAATAAGATAACATTACATCACAACACTTATGACGATACACAGTATACACAAGGATGCGTCCCTATTGTGCCTAGAATAAATAAAACGCACAGAGATGAATCCCCTCTCCAAAAGATGACATGAAATACAATTTCCTGATAGTACGTCTCAACGCCACGTGGTGTCCTTACTGGGTCAAGGCTGCTTTTCAACCTGGAAACACTACCACCAGGCGGCTACTAGTCCCATCGTCCCATCCACATCGCGAAACTTTGGACGTTTCTATTAATATTTGATCATTCACATTCGTGGCTAAGATCGCGTGCCAAGTTGATCGTCACTCTTACATGTTCCGGGACTGCGCTTTGTCGTGACAAATAATGTGCGTAACACGAATTGCCTGTTGGCAACAGAACCCGGTAAACGATGCCGTTTACGTGGCTTATCCAAAAACCAACCTATTAATAGTATACTCATTAGTGTCTGGTTTTATGTAGTAAACGCCAGTCAACTGAATAATACCCCGTGTTACACAGTAATCCTTTTGATTACTCTGTTTAAGCAATAACCGCTTAACCGTGCTTTAACAGCTGCAGGTTTATTATGCACGGAAGGGTTGTTATGAAGTCGTAGAGTTGTTATTACGTTATTAGCATTATTTATTAAACCATTGTTTTATCTCTGTACAAATGTGCATGAAATTGATTATAGTATGCATTGAGCTGCATTGAGCAAGAACTGCGTTGTGTTAGGTTTATTGTACTTCCGAGATAACAGGTTCATCAAAGTTCATGTTATTTTGCAAGTAAACTGAACGACCTAGATACACATATTACATCAGCATTACAAAATTTCATTGAATATAATGAAGATATATTATATACGATACAAGATATGTCAAGTAATCGAATTTATTGTTAGATGAATAAAAAGACATCGCTAAATATACATGTACATGTATTTTATATATATATATATTATATATTTATATAGAAAACATATTTTTCAATCTGTTTTATAAATTTACTTAACCTTAAAAAATGTAATAAAAATAATTTTACAAGTAATTTTTAATTTTTTATTAGTTTAGATTATCAACTTTTTAAAATTTTAAACAAATATTTATATACATACTGAAAATAAATATATTTCATTTATTTATATTACTTTGTTATTCTTGGCAATAGTTCTATGTTACTCTGTAAGTACCGAAATATTACGTTTATCAAGATAGCTGTTTCTAAGCTCAAATAACGTAGAACTAATTGCATCATAGTTCATGCCACATTTAGTTCGTTATTATAAGCATCATAACACTGATTACGCAATCATGTTTATAAATAAGGAAAAAAAAACAGAGTCATTAAATGATAAAACTCTCCTATACCATTTTATTCTTCATTCATCATTAATAATCATTATTAACCATTATAATCATTAACATGTTCTGCCCAGCAACCATATAATTCAATACCAAAATTTAATATACACCAAATCCTCATTGTATTGTATATATATGTACTTATATGTATATAAATATCTATATGTATATATCTATTATATCTCTATGTATATGTACATGTTAAAATTTATATATTTTATAAATTTATATATACATATTTATATCATATTAATTTAATCTACTATTTAATAGTAAAATTACACAGTCGTATATCGTGCTATAATGTATGCATATTTAAATATACGTATTTAATATTTTTCAAGCACATATCTTCACGTAACATATTTCGCATTTCATGTCATCATATTTTGCAATAATATTATCCATAACTATTTCCCTGTAATATTGCAACGTGTAGTAACATTATTATGTACATATCGTGGCTACTACCGTGCATATTGTTATTTGAATTGCTTTGATGTGTTAAATTGATGGGAAGTAAATAGCCGTTCAGTATTCATATCTGTAAATCGCTATAATTCACATACAGGGTGTTCGAAAAACTTTTTCACAAATTTTTTATAATACTTAGATTTAAGAAATATAAATGTCATATAAAATAGTTTTTAAGAACTTTATTAAAAATTTCTGATATAATATTGAATACAAAGAAGTGAAGACATATAATACAAGGTAAGTTTAACTAAATTGATGCGCCATTTGTTAAATAAATTCAATAGCACTTATAACAATCCTTGCAGTTGTGACAATCGAGGACAGAGGTCAGCAATTAAGTACGAAAAAATACCAACAGAGTATAACATCAACATACTATTGAATTTATTTAGTACACTAATTTGTTATTAAACAAATACTTAGCCTTTTATGCTGAATTCAGAAAATTAATATGAAACTTAAATATCGTCTATCTATTTTTTTTATTATTATTTTTGATAATGTATTTAAAGTTCATATTAGTATAATATTTTTGTTTTAGTTTTACTTGTAGAACTTATAGAATTTATAGAATATAGTTGGCAAACTTTATACAGAAACCTACAAGACACTCTGTATATTATATTTTTTATATTTTTCAATCAAAGCGCATCGCTTTTACTTGTAACAAAATTCTAATTAATGAAAGTAACAAATTTTTCAAAGCGCCTGGTTATTACCATTTTTTCTAGCTTCCTGTCTTAAAAAACTATTTAATCAATTAAAAATACATACAATAATTCATACTGGACACGTAAACAATAAGAATTAATATAATTAATTTATGCTTTAATTTCGTATATGTGAGTATAATCGTTACTGCTCATATCGAAAACATACTATACTAATTTACAAATATACGTAAAAATACGTAAAACTAAGTAATATATAAAAGTGTCACACTATTTTTCAAAATTTAATTTTTCTTATCACATGCAAATTGTAAAAATTAATTAACAGTAAATAACATTATTAAGTAGTGAACATTATTATATTTCAATCGGCTATTTATTTTATATAGAAAGATAAATCAAAAAAATTAAGTAAAGAAATAAAGAAATGTTTATTATCAAAAATTATATTTTCCAATAGAATATTTTTCCATACTTTTGTTATTAATAATGCCATTTTTCTAAAAAAGGCAAATATTATCCAGTTTCATTACATATTCCATTTCAATATATATTGAAATATATTTGAAGAATTTCAAATCGCATTCAACGTCACCATAACCTCAATAATTACCTAATTTGTACAGTAACTTGTACCGTAAAACCTTAAGTCTTTCCATATGTCAAATATCATCGTTTCTAACAATAAATACTGTACAGACTCTTACAATTCGATTGCACTTCAGGCCTCATGAGTCTCTATTAAATTCAGACGAAACTAGGTGACAACTCGATCGTAAGTAAAAAAGGGTCACCTTAATACAATAAATTTTCCGAAAAAAGGAATAGCCTTTTACGCCGAGCAGATACAGCAAGCGACGATGGAAGTTGTTCGTTACCGCAGCTTGGTAAAAAGTCACTGCCGAATTTCCAGCGAGCATTCGAATGGGACGACTTTTTGTCCGCTAGAAAGTTTTCGAGCCGCCGTCAGCTCAGTCGGAAACGGAGTAAGCCGTACGTGTCCAGAGGCGTATGCCAGAAAAAAAAAACGGCCAGACATTGGTGCACGGACAAAAAGCCTGATAGAGCGGATTACAGAAGCGCAAAGATCGAGGAAGAAAACATGTTCGCTTTCGAGTCGGTCACGCATCATCGGTAGCTCGATCGCGAAATTGATCTGCCATACTTTCGCCGCGGGTAAGTACTTGCCAGAAAATGTCGGCCTTCGCCGACTTATTCGGTCGAGATTCCTTATTAACTGTTAATCTTGACGATAGGTCATGCGCACGACCACAAAACAGATGATGACGGATGCCGCGATAAAACCAGCGAAGGAGGACTCGTCGCCTCCCGCCATATCTGTGTATGTGTGTCGTCCGTGAGCGTCTCATCGCGCGTACGTGTCCACAAAGTTGCATGCGGTACGCGAACACTAATGATCGATTTGGTTCAATCAATGACCACGTTCTATACCGTCGCGTTTGACCAACTGTAAGATGAAATTAGATGCTACTTGAAGCAGAGAACATTGAAGGACGTCCATTACTTTGACAAATGAATAACTTACGATCGTTGAACATAGTGACTGTTGATTGATATCGTGGAGAGGTTATTAGTAAAATGAAATTGAGATTATGTATGCATTACAAGCGACGTTTCTTCTGAAAGAAGCAGGAAAAATTGGAGGTAAAAGTAGTAACGAAGTTTGGTAATTGGTAAGGAAAGTGGATTTTATTTAAACTTAAGTAATCCGATGAATGTTTCATCGATATGATGTGTCGCTGTGCTTGTTCCATACCAACGTGTCATATTGAACGTTAACCTCTAAAAAGATACGAATCACCTTTTTATATGTAATTTCAACACACTTTCCAGAATACCATATGTGCCAATAAAACGGAGTAAATTTGCAACTAACGTTTACTGCTCTAACTCGTAACAATGAACATTTGTGCAAACAACGGTAAAAATACATTACTCGCATAAACTTAGTAATCGTAAGAGAATTCCTTTCGTCTTTCACAACGAATATCGACGTGTACTCAATGAATCGAATCTTCGTAACTTTTTTAGGTGAAAAGTGATTACCATCTGTTAATGCAAACGATGAGACGTTCCTAATCGAAGAGGATACTTCCTGAACTTGAGATCAACCGGAACAAAAGGACGAAAAATGTTTATTTGATTACGTCCCCTTACCGCGTCCTCCTTTCCTCAAAGAGGTATAGTTGGCAACGCTAGTTAACGCACACGCACCTGCACCGGCGATCGGCTATAGTGAGTGATAATCGTAGAGTAGGTCAGCGGAACAGCGCCTCTAGCAATCTGCGTTCTTCGCCTTCCTGGCTTCTATGTGTGCAGCTGCTCGTGCCGTGTATACCAGCCTAACGACGTGTATGGGTGTGTGTACATGAGCACGGATAAAGGTACGCCGACCGCGTATGACAAGAAACGAGTCGAAGAGTGCGGAAAGCCGGCGATGTCGTCTGGACGAAACACCCGTCGACGATACATTCGACTTTTATTTTATCCGATTACACGCTGATTCTCTGCTTCATCACTGTAAACACAAATCACCAAGCTTTCTGTTCTAAAATGTAAAATTTGTTTCTTAAGAAATTATTTCACAATATTATTTCTCTCTTTTAATTCTTTTAATTATGTTTCAGGAGGTGATAGCTAGAATTTAAAAAAAATATTTCAATTCTACTGAAAACCTGAATATACTGTTTTGATATGAATCTCAAATTTTAAGGTGAAGAAGGAAAATAATACAGTAAATTGAAGAATTTATTATTTTAACTTTTTAGTGAAACCGTGTGTCCCTTTCGGAAATACTCTTCAATGTGCATATCTGTATACCTGTCATCAATAGTATGTATGCTATTACTTGATTGCAGTTATAAGCACTTTTTACCACTTATATTACATACATATGCGTACTTTTTGAATTATTTCCGTGTTTCTGCAATAACTTCTTAATATAACTTTTTTAAATTTAGAAATCAAGAATAGCTGGCTAATTGACACGAGAACTTCAAGGAATGAAGAAGATAACATAGCATGTTTCCGTTTGCTTTAACTTGTACTTTCTTCGACTATGTATTTCAGTCGGCAACTTCGGCGCACTGAAATTTACAGTCAATCGATAATACAGGAAGGTAACTCACGGCAGTAATGATTTTGTACATTTTTTAAATTATGTTCTTCTTTTAAAAGTTATTGTTTAAGGTGAAATCGCTCGCACGAGATATGTACATTCAAATGTTTTAATTGAATTTCACGAGGAATTAAAAAAGTTTTACAATTCTATGGCACATGCTAAAGCATTTTTCATTAAACGTAATTACAGTAAATATTTTTTGTTCAAAACCAGTTACACCGTTAATAAATCTATTATAGTTTAGATTTATAAACGTTTATTGCCTACTTTCCAACATCGTTAAAAATGAAGGTAAATTGCACTGTACGATTTTTAGACACAATCCATCCATCTTTCATTCTTCGCTTATCGACTGCCGCTTAACATTTTTATCTCTGTAACAAATTTTGAAACAAATAAAAATGGATATAGAGAGTAAATCATTTTTAAAATAGAAAGATATAACAATATATTCTAAATTTATCTTGCTATATGAATCACGCCATTGTTTTGTTCATTTTAATAGTATCTATGACAACGATTAGTTTTTTGAGGTAGAACCAACCACGTGATTTTTTCTATGTACATATTTTGATTATTTTATTTCGATTATTTAATAACTGTTTCGTTTAATGTTTCGTCCTCATAATAACATTTATTATACTATTTCAATATACGTATAAGTGGAATACAACTAACTTAAACCAAACTCAAGGTCTCTTTCAGTACAAGACCATTACATTGAAATACCTTTAATTACCTTAATGAAGTCGTTTGATTATGGCCGTACAGGTTCATGGACAATTTACTGAATTGTATAATGACTTAACATTGAAGATTCAGTGGAAAAATAGTGTAATAAAAATCAAAATACTCGTTATTTTTTTACGATTACCATCAACTGTTGGTATTAATGATTGCATAACAAATTGTTAACAAATTAAAAATTTTAAAAAATGTCAAGTATAATGCTTAGCAAGGAAACTACTACGCAAAAAATAGATAAAAACGATAAAATAATTTTTTGAATAAAGCTTAATTTTAGAGGAAAATCAGCTTATACCAGAAATTACTACAATTTATATCCAGCATAATACAAAAACAATTGATTGCTTAAAATATCAATTTGTATTAAAAATTTAGTAAAATCAAAATCTCGATATTTTGATATTCAATTATGTTTTTTCCAAGAATAATCAGATATCCTTCTAAGTACTGAAATTGTTCTTTAAATAGCTAGTTTTTTCTTTTTTATTATGTACATTTTGTATAGTATATGTGAACATAATAAAGAAGCATAAGTATACATGAAATTTTTCTATAATTTAGTAATTATAGAATAATCCGAAACCAAAAATATACTCACATAATTTCAATTTTCAATTTTAATTTTTAATTTCTTCCCAAAACTTAATCTTTATAATGTCTTGTCCAGTTGTTCTACTAACTGTCTCGTCACAGTCATAAAATCCTTAAGGCATATTTCACTTCCAATTAATCACTTTCATTGTAAACGTAAACTTCCATCTTCTACTTTCTACAGAAACTTAAATTCCGTTTTACAACGCATTTAGTACGGTGCTATATCCAGATTCAGCCAAAACCATAAATGCAGAAATGCAAGTGTTCTATTTCATTACAGAAAGGTGGTAATTGCCCCGTAGAGAGGTGACCAATTTCATGCAGGAACCCGTTTTACCACTTCACAATATAAGCTATTACTTGTATGTAAAAAAGTACTCGCGGTTCTCGGAATTACTATACCATAAAAGTGGCGTAACCGAACAGTAACAGGCAGGATACGCAAAATAAATAAAAATTGCGTTAAACGATTATTCAGTTGAGTATTCGCTGAATAGTTTAACCCTTTGCATTCGAGAGGCGACCTTCAGTCACCATTTCATAAAATTTGGAAAATCGATATTAATTAATATATCAAATTTGATGTAATGTAACAATGGGCAAGATATCAAAATCAAATAATTCTACGCGGTAATTATTATACAATTTTTTATTTACTGCTCAAAAAGTATCGTTAGTTCTTTAGTAGAGAATCTTTGAATTTCTACTCTTCTCTAGCCAAAAAATCGTCGAGTGCAAAGGGTTAAATGAAGCCTAGTATCAATCACTCGAAAGTTTTTCACAATAGAGAGTAAAGAAGGTAAGAATCGATTGAAAATGATAATCGGCCGGATGGGTGGAGCCAAGTGAGAGGTGCAGAAGAGCATAGAAAGTTCGTATCATGAAATTGCATTCCATAAAGAATGGAAAGTCGGTGCATAATCCTTTTCGTTATTCTTCCTTTTTTCTCCGCCAGATGGAATGCGCGAACGTGAAACGAATTACCGTGAAATACTGGAACGATTTCTGATCAGGCTTTTTTTCGCTAGAGGCGCTTCTCGGGGCTGCGTACGGCCGATCAGGAAGATTACGAAGAGTACGACGACCGACGACCGTCGACTCGGCTAGATTAAGGCAACGAGGTCACTTGCCAGTGGGTAGCACTGGTATTGTTACGTATGAACCATTCTACGGGAAATCGACACCATGATCTCTGAATTTTATTTTTTAACATCCTCATAAATATCCTTCTTCTGTGAATTTGAAAAAAGTAATTCTTGAAAAATTTCTTGCGAATCCAAAAATTTTTACTATGTCCTGTTATATCTACGAGAAATGAATAAATTCCAATAAATTCAAATTTTATTAAAAATAAATAAATCGCGTTTATATTTGCAAAGGATGAAACTGAACCAACTAAAATCGATTCATCTTTATTAGTTTTTTAAACCTATGACTAAAAAAATTGTTGGTTATAAGACAACCCAGATAACAGGTTAATAGACATCTGTCGAACATTAACGGAAAGATAATATTCTCACCTCCCAAATGAATATCAAATAGAAGGTACATTATCTGCCAAAAGGTTTCTATCAAGATATGCGTTTATCTCCACTTAAATTACACAACAACAAACTTGTTTTCATACAAAAAATAATACGTATCATATTTCATAACGTATAATACACCATACACTTACGTAATAAGTCTTTATTTTCGAGTACTTGTTATCTTAATAAAGTAACAGAACAATACTATGGACAGAAACTTCTATCAGCCACTGTACGTATTAGGAGGTAGGTATTATGTTACGCCACTTTATTCCATTTTTTCTACGTCCTATATACTTTATTTCTGCTACGCTTGTTTCAAACGACTATTTCAATTACGAAGCAAAAATGTAATGTTAATTATTTTCTTATTCTTTCCAGTAAATGCAAAATAAAAGATTATACTCATGCTTCATTCGCTTATTTGATACGAACGAATAAGTTACTGTGTGTAGTATTTGCTATTCCTAGTGCCATTGGTTGGAATCATTGATATCATTAGGAAAGTGAATTTATAGTATGCTGATGAATATGCGATTACCCAACTTTATTGATAACATTTTTTTTCAGATTTGATAACGATTACAAGGACCACCGCCATTACTCAACCTGACAACTGTACTATCTAAAATTAATTTGTACTGGAAAGATTTTGTATGGTATCATTATATTACACTGTTCATACAGTATTACATTATACTATTGTGTATTTCTTAAATATTTCAATGTTGTTCAGTACAATTTAAAATCTTAACATAAAAAGATAATATTATTTAATGAGTGAAAAATCATTAATTATTAATAAATAATTAATAAATAAAAAATTAAAAAATTATAAATAGATCTTTATAGTTCAATATGTTTGCATTGCTCTTTCAATGATAAAATAACAAACGTAATTTTTAGTATTTGTTTATTTGAAACAATTTAAATATTGAATCTTTTAATTACTTTGACTAAATAATTGGCCAATCATAAATTTGGATCATTAAATATCCATCAGTTTTATTATTTATTGCATTTGGCAACCTTTGACATTCATTTTGCAAATCAACTTTCGTTATAAAGTAATCTATAATTATCGTAAACACAACCACGTGTAGATGATAATATGTTCATAGTATTGGAAAGATTTTATCTAAAATTTAAAGCAACATCTTATCCTAAATATTTGAATTGTTTACTTGTAAGCTTTATTATTAGATAAATAATTTCACATAAAACAGTGTCATTTTTTATTTTACACAGAAAAACAATGGTTTATTTTTTTTAATTATAAGTATAACTATATAAATATCTATACAAATTACATAAACAAAGTAATTTCACTTAAATTAAAATATAACTATAGAAACAAACAATATGCAATAAACTATAATAATATTATTATTATCTATTTTGTTATAATATTAATAATATTACTAATAAAATTGTTAATATTATACATATATTTCAAATATCATATAAAATAATATTTACCATTTCAACATATGTAGATACTAGTTTCGTTATTTAGATACATAACCAAACTAAGTACTTAAAATCTTACATCTTCAACCAGATTTACGATAAATACTAATATGTAGATATACCTAAGTGCGAGAAAAATATGATTTTAACGAACTATCTTTTAACATAAAACAGTGTCATTTTTTATTTTACACAGAAAAACAATGGTTTATTTTTTTTAATTATAAGTATAACTATATAAATATCTATACAAATTACATAAACAAAGTAATTTCACTTAAATTAAAATATAACTATAGAAACAAACAATATGCAATAAACTATAATAATATTATTATTATCTATTTTGTTATAATATTAATAATATTACTAATAAAATTGTTAATATTATACATATATTTCAAATATCATATAAAATAATATTTACCATTTCAACATATGTAGATACTAGTTTCGTTATTTAGATACATAACCAAACTAAGTACTTAAAATCTTACATCTTCAACCAGATTTACGATAAATACTAATATGTAGATATACCTAAGTGCGAGAAAAATATGATTTTAACGAACTATCTTTTGTGAAAGATTATAGCATTATATAACAAAACCTATGCTGTCAACACTGTATTGAAAATAAGTTTAGAAAATAAATCTCAGGCAGATAATTTTATTTACCATATGTACATAGTGAATTTCAAAACATGATAGTTTAAAACTAACCTATCGACGTATTAACTTTAAAGCAATGAAATATTAGATGCTAATATATATGCAAAACATAACTGCACACAGTTATGTACACATGCACAAATATACATAATAAGTATAATTTCGTTGGCCTGGTAATGATAATATTTTCAGTATGCAAAAAAACATAAATTCCGCTTGATTTACTCATTAAGAGTACCAACATTAGGAACGATCGATAAACAGACAAAAGAGGTTAGAAAGGTAAACAGAAGCATTTTATTCGAAAGAAGAAACGGTATTCGTTTCTAAAATGCAAGAATTGCCAACGTAATTTCTAGTGGTAACGATGAAACAACATTTGTATTAAAACATGCAAAGGCAAGAAAGTCTCGCTGTTCCCACTTTGCACACACACTGCCTATAATTAATCGAGAAAATTGTGTCACGAATAGTGGCGATTATATAACATACGGAAGCAGAAACGTGAGAATGACCGTCCAAAGGACGCAGCCGATCATCAATCATAACATCGGCACGGCTGTTGGGACGGTACGATTACAGGAGGTTCGAATATCAGCAGGTATGATCGAGGTGACACAACGTATACTGTTGTAGACATACGCACACGCGACTTTCCTACGATTAGAATCAAGCGTGATGCGTGGCACATCGATGAATATCGTCGATTTATGTGGTTATGTCCGACAAGTGACTAGAATACTTTGTCTAAACAGTCCTCCGTAGGTGAAACGCATTTGAAGCAATTTCAGGTTATCCCGTTGGATTTAAGTACTAACTAACCTATTTCTATCAAAACAAATTCGGATTATTCTTACAAGGTAAATCACAATCGTTATATGATACTAATGTACGAAATTAAGGTGTGTATATTCGTTTCAAAATTGTTTCCATATTTGAGGAAAACATTTTTGAAAAATTATTGAGATAGTTTTTTATTTTGTATATTCTTTTTTATTCATATGCAAATGACACTTTTTGCAAGTACAAATATTCGTGAAACTAAGGTAATCAATCTTCATTCGTGCAACGACAGGAACGAACTAACCATATCGAATAGAAAGTTCGTTCACTGGTTAGCGATTGTTGACGCGATTACCTGACCACGAGTCAGCAGAATTCTAAACTCCAAGGAGGTGCGCTTGGCAACACACCACGTGTCGCATACCAAGAGTTACATCTATTTCCGTCTTTTAGGTATCACCGCTTTCCCCACTTGCGACAGCTGGTTGTACGTATCATTAGGCAGCGACGCTGCGTGAAGCGTTCCGAACAGCATGATTGAACCGCAACCATACACAGTCCCTTCATCCCCTCGTTACGAAGCGTACGCAAAGACGAACAGTGATAGTCGGACGTGGCGTACGTACACTTATCGTGCTTCGAGGTTGAAACGAAGCCGGCACAATTCGACACTTATATACACATAGTAGTATAGCAAGGGTATAAATAGCGAGTACCACACGCAAGGACATGTACACTCCATGAGAAGAACAGAGTTAACCGAAGAAAGTGTGCCACATCTTCATTGTAGAGTGCGTGCAAACCGGTATACTCGGTTTTGATGAAGTAACAACAGCAAAAACAATACGTGGGTTAATAGTCGCATAGTAACGTCGAAAGCTCGAACACGTTTGCTGATACACTAATTCGAATTTCCCGCTGTGCAAAACGCCAATCGTTGAGCACCGCGGTCATAACTGCATACCCGCCAATCGTTCGTGATGCTGCACACGAGGACCCTCGCCGTCGCTGCAGCATCGCCTCTCTTCGTCGAAAGTGTCTTGTCATCTCGGTTGTTTCGTGTGTCTAGCAGCCATGTTGTGGCCACGCGTTCTATTGGTGACCGTGCCCTTAACCGTGGCCAAATATCGCGCGAGGTTATGCTACAGAATTACCAGAAGATACGCGAAAAATACAAATGTAAGTATTAGCACTGGCTGCAGCCATCTTAGCTAGGCATCCTTCTCACTTCCGTCACTTTTCAACGTTCTATCTCAGTCGTGCTTGTGCGTGTTCTGCCGCGCCGTTTGTCCGAAAACTACGCATGCGCGGTCATGAGTGCTTCGATATTTTGAATCGATGGGCCTACGCAAGACCTTGATAGTCGTCTATCCGTACGGAAATCAGGATTAATATGCTAATGAGAATTCCCCGTTCAGGAAGCATTTGATTTATATTTAATCTGAAAAGAAAGTTAAATACTTATATCGTGTCTCTTAAGAACGTGTACACAACAATATTTACACATCTGTTGCGTGAAATAGCAACAATGCAATCGTATATCAATTGCCTTTGGCAACTTTCCAAAATCTTTCGTATGATGCATTGTTAGATCTGTTAAGAGTTCTTTTAACCGTGAATAATTATCTTGATTTATTTACTTCGACAAGATACTTGTTGCAAAGTATTTAATGACACGATTAATATTGAATTATGTTATAAAGGTTACCTCAATTAAATATCGTTTGGTCTATCGATATTTTACTTGACAAAATAATCGAAGGAAAATTTATATAACAGAATATATATCTAGAGGTAATTAGTAAAAGAACACAGGAGAGACGACGAATGGACGGGCAGAAAAATCTAGGACGGTGAAAAGCATCTCGTATCAGGCATCTGTGGAATAAAACGAGAGCACGGACTTATCATGAATCAAAGTGGAGAAATAATCCCGTGCGTTACCCTGCTATTTAGCTAAAAAGCCCTCGTACAAGGCCGCGCGTGTAGAATCACGTGCACATAAATCGTATTGTTTTCGTATTCATCTTGATATGTCTATCTGATTGTGAGGTAGCTTGCAACATTAAACAGGAAAAGTAGCTAGGGTCTGTTTTTAGATTATGCCGTGTGTGATGATGCAAATGATAAAGGAAGTAGAAATATTAAACATAGTATTAAGTATCATAATATTAAATTTTTAATGCGTTTACTTTTGACTAGTTTTACGCTAATTATTTTAAACTAACATATTTTTATTATGAAAAATATATACGTGCGAAAAATCTTAATATTTAATTTTCTATGAAAGCAATTCTGTCTTATGTGAAATTTTTTATTAACCTTGGGGGTTATGTAAGAAAGCGGACACGTCATCTATGGACTATAACATTGACACTGATCAAGTATCTATATTGTAAATAATGTTTCATACCCTTACTGTACAAGTTGATATACTTATTCATAGGAAATGTAGGTTGCACCGTTATTTATATTATCAAAATTCAATATTTCCAAATTATTTGATACTAACAGAATTTTAATATTTATTTAATGTTAATTTGTATATTTATTTTTGTTTATTATTAAATTATAATATAAACACTTTAATTTATTAATTATTATTTAATTAATTTTATAAAGGATGTATAATAGTTACATTAGTGAATATTTTTCAAACAATAGAACTACTAATATTTTTATATTCAACTCTAGTTGAATATTTTAGTAACAAACTGTGGAACATTTTGCATGTTATTTACAGCTGTACAAAATCTTGCATAATTGAATATAAAATAGTTGAAGATTACAAAAATTTGTATAAACTAAAATTGGATACCAAGTGCTATAAGGAGTGCTAAAGAGCTATAATACATAGGGTATATATTTTCTAGGAATTAGAAACCTTTCAGAGCTTTGAAAATTACTTTTATTTTTCCATTTTTTCCCTTTTATTAATAAAATTTCTTTATATTAATATACTTTATATAAATATATTTTTTAATAAAATTTTGCACTAGTATTTGATATTTTTAATATTTTACAAGAACAAATTTTTTTAACAAATTTTATTCTATATACAATAAACAAATAAGCATTTTATAGAAAATCCATATCTAAACTATATTTGGCATAATGTATGATATGTGATGTAATATATAATACATAGTATAATAAATATATGCTATACTATATACATGTATATTATAATTCATATAATTTAATATATAAAAATACAAAAGAAAAATCGTATTCTATATTGATTCTTGTTTTATGTATTTAATATTGTGAACAAAATCATTCAATAAAGAAATCAAAATTTTTCGTAGTTCTTTCTTTTTCATGAAAGTAAACAAAAATATTTTTATTTATAACAATAATCAACAAGATTAATGTCTGAAAAATCCAATATCTTACAAATTTTTTTTTAAATTTTTATAATAAAAATATCAAACTCTTTTCAATTCAAAATAATTCAACAATTTTTTTATTTGAAAATTGTAAAACATTTTGTAATTATTTTTTAAACAATGTAAAATATACATGAAATCTTTTTTAATTATTCATAGAACAAAATTAATGGAACGATTAAAAATTAGAATAAAAAGCTTCGTTAAATGTTAACAGTAATAAAATCATAATTGCAAATAAATTATATAAATAAATTCGATATTTATAAAACAGTATAATCGTGTAAACTTTTATCGTCACTTATGGTTATATATTCTAATTATATATTTTAATTGTTAATCTTTAAAAAATGTTCATATTTATTAAGATTATGTCAAAAATATTTTCAAATTTATTAAAATTATCAAAATATCAAGTTGTTAAATGAAAAAATTTTTAATTTATCAAAATTGTATCTAAAATTATTTCCAAATTTATCAGAATCGTGTCTGAAATTATATTCAAATTTATCAAAATTATATCGATAATTCTTTTCAAATTTACTAAAATTATCAAGATATCATATTTTTTGGTTTTAATTTTTAAATATATTAAAATTATATTTAAGATTATTTACACATTTATCGCACCTATATCCAAAATTTCTTTCAAATTTGTCATACTTATAATCATAATTATAATATATACTATACTATATACTATAATTATAATATATACTAGTTTAACGTGTATAACAATTAAATCTATATGTATAAATGTTTATTACGCATAAAATTAATTACTGAAATTTCTTCTCCAGCCAAGAAACTTCCGCAAGACGTAAGCATAAAAGGAGTGTTTGCCTGCAACGAGTTGGACTTGAAAGAAGTGCAAGTATATGGATTCGACTATGATTACACGTTAGCTTGTTACAAGCCATCGATGGATTACCTGCTGTATAACCTCGGACGTGATATGCTCATTCAAAAATACAAGGTAAATACAAATGCACGCGTAACATGGACTAAATGAATTTTCCAGGTTTTTCAGTTAATGCAAAGAAATTCCTCGTATATACGTCACTGGAGAAACGGCTGACAAACTTTCAACCTCGTCGAGACTAATTCAAGCTAGCGAACGAAACTTCCTAACTCATTTCTGCTGGCGAATTCGGTTCGTCAGCAGCGTTTTCTCGAAAATCAAGCGACAATTACAGCCGAACGAGAATTTCAATTGAAACTTGACGCAAACTCGTTTAATCGGCTGTACAGTACCCCGGGGGAATCGGCAACCTCGAGTACAAGAAGGATTTCGCTGTTCGTGGCCTCCATTACGACATCGAAAAGGGTCTGTTGCTGAAACTCGACAGCTTCTTGCAAATTCAATTTGGCACCGTTTACCGCGGTTTACATCCAGTCCCCGACGACGAGGTTCTTAGGCTCTATAAAAACCGGATAATACCTATCGCTTATGTAGAAGCGCCTCATAAACATTCTCATGTAAGGATACTCAAGTAAACTCAATAATTAACTAGAACGGTGTTCCTGGCCGAAATTATTGTATTGTTAAAACTAAAAGGGAGAATTGCCTATTGTTTTGTTATTGGATATGGATAGGAACTATTAAAAATTATTTAAGATAAAGAAACAGTGAGAAATATGAAAAAAGAAGTTTACAGTATATATTATAATTATTTGAAAAAAAGCATAAAATTCATACAAGCTTTGCTACGTCTAAACTAATGATCTATAGCTGTCAATAATTTAATAACTATTGTGTACTTTTATACATTTGTATATTTTATATTTGTTTTATGTATATGATAAAAGCACTTATATTTTTATAAGTGTATTATATATTCTAAATCATACTGTCACGAAGTTTCTTACACTATACTAATACGATGAAATATATATTATGTGTATATAAAATATCTGGTAACTTGTTGGTACAAAAACCAAATTTTTTTCATTTCGAATTTTGTTTTCGGTAAAAGTAAGCTAGAAAATTCATGGAATGCGCGTTTTTCTATTCAAATCTTAAGTCTACGAATTTTATTGTAGATTGTATATCACCATATTTGAATTATAATATATACTAGTTTAACGTGTATAACAATTAAATCTATATGTATAAATGTTTATTACGCATAAAATTAATTACTGAAATTTCTTCTCCAGCCAAGAAACTTCCGCAAGACGTAAGCATAAAAGGAGTGTTTGCCTGCAACGAGTTGGACTTGAAAGAAGTGCAAGTATATGGATTCGACTATGATTACACGTTAGCTTGTTACAAGCCATCGATGGATTACCTGCTGTATAACCTCGGACGTGATATGCTCATTCAAAAATACAAGGTAAATACAAATGCACGCGTAACATGGACTAAATGAATTTTCCAGGTTTTTCAGTTAATGCAAAGAAATTCCTCGTATATACGTCACTGGAGAAACGGCTGACAAACTTTCAACCTCGTCGAGACTAATTCAAGCTAGCGAACGAAACTTCCTAACTCATTTCTGCTGGCGAATTCGGTTCGTCAGCAGCGTTTTCTCGAAAATCAAGCGACAATTACAGCCGAACGAGAATTTCAATTGAAACTTGACGCAAACTCGTTTAATCGGCTGTACAGTACCCCGGGGGAATCGGCAACCTCGAGTACAAGAAGGATTTCGCTGTTCGTGGCCTCCATTACGACATCGAAAAGGGTCTGTTGCTGAAACTCGACAGCTTCTTGCAAATTCAATTTGGCACCGTTTACCGCGGTTTACATCCAGTCCCCGACGACGAGGTTCTTAGGCTCTATAAAAACCGGATAATACCTATCGCTTATGTAGAAGCGCCTCATAAACATTCTCATGTAAGGATACTCAAGTAAACTCAATAATTAACTAGAACGGTGTTCCTGGCCGAAATTATTGTATTGTTAAAACTAAAAGGGAGAATTGCCTATTGTTTTGTTATTGGATATGGATAGGAACTATTAAAAATTATTTAAGATAAAGAAACAGTGAGAAATATGAAAAAAGAAGTTTACAGTATATATTATAATTATTTGAAAAAAAGCATAAAATTCATACAAGCTTTGCTACGTCTAAACTAATGATCTATAGCTGTCAATAATTTAATAACTATTGTGTACTTTTATACATTTGTATATTTTATATTTGTTTTATGTATATGATAAAAGCACTTATATTTTTATAAGTGTATTATATATTCTAAATCATACTGTCACGAAGTTTCTTACACTATACTAATACGATGAAATATATATTATGTGTATATAAAATATCTGGTAACTTGTTGGTACAAAAACCAAATTTTTTTCATTTCGAATTTTGTTTTCGGTAAAAGTAAGCTAGAAAATTCATGGAATGCGCGTTTTTCTATTCAAATCTTAAGTCTACGAATTTTATTGTAGATTGTATATCACCATATTTGTAAATATTTCTATTATGTTTATATTTATATTAAGGAAATCGAATAGAATCACACAAAAGTGTTTTGAAATATTCCTTTTCGACTTATTTTTAGATATATAATTACTTCTTGCCATCTTGTATCATTATTTACCAGACACTCTGTAAATAAATATTGATTGTTGATAAAGTAAATTAATATTAATGTAAACATCTTATTTATTTATGATAGACTTTTCTCACTTTTTCTTAATATACTATTAGAATGTTTTCTATTTTTCATTAAATTTTTATATTATTTTTATTTATAAACTGAAAAATATAACAGTTTAAATAATACTTTTGGTGGCACTCCCCTATATCACAAAGGGTTATAACAACTAGCTAAAAAATAATTCTAAGATGTTATAAGATTAGACAATTCTATTTTATTTTGATTCTAATATTCTTTAAATACAAAATCACTGAAAGATGTGATTATCTAAAAGTGATAATAGATTGAACGGAAGCATGTATTTATACATATCAGTGGAACTGGATTTTCTCATCCTTTCTTGCATCCTTGATTATATACAAAACAGTGAATGTATGTTAAAGTATTTCAAAAGAATAGTATAAAAATATAAACTAATCATAACATTTAACAACAGGAAAAAAATGCACGAATACTTCAGTTCTTTGTAATTGTTATAGCATATGCACATACGTGTAGTCTCAATTGCAAATTTCCAATCAAATTTTGTGAATGTCAAAACTTGCAACATTTAAATGTCCTTTGTTTGTTTGCATGCATCAACTTTTGTGTTTTTCATGACGGATTTTACCAACGTTAAATATAGAAAGTGAGTATTAAGTCTTATGTCATTGTAAAGTATACTGATTTTTCATGTAAAAAAAAAAAATTTAATGTTTTAGGAAGCACTGCACAGAACGAAAATGGTTCAGTTGGCTGATTTATTTTCGGTACCAGAAATGGGTCTTTTGTGTAACGTCACGGAATACTTTCTTAGAAATCATATCGACTATCATCCTGAAATACTCTTTAGAGATGTAAAGGTAAAATTACTAAAATATACCAAGAATATAAAAGAGTATAAAAGTTAATTATATTTTTTATGTAGAACTCTGTAAAAAATTGTCATCCTGTAATGCATCAAATGGTAGTACAAAATGTGTCTGAATATTTAGAACAAAATAAGGATTTAAAAAGATTTTTTAATCGACTTAAGGAAGCTAATAAAAATATGTTTCTAGTAACTAATAGTCCTTTCCATTTTGTGTAAGTAATAAATATAATAAATGACGCTAAAATGCTTATATAATTGATAAATTATGATATTATTATTTATAGTGATATTGGAATGAAATTTTTGGTTGGTGATGATTGGAAAGATTATTTCGATGTAGTAATTGTGCAAGCGAGAAAGCCAAAATTTTTCACTGAAGAAACTCGACCTCTTAGAATATATGACGAAGTTAACAAAACACAACTATGGGATCGAGTTACCAAACTTGAAAAAGGAGTCATATATCTTGAAGTAAGTTTATTTTGGAATTATTTCTACTTATTTATGATCAATATTAACATCAAACAATCATAAAACAATAGGGCACAGTCAAACAATTGCAAGATATGACTGGATGGCAAGGACATCAAGTATTATATTTTGGAGATCATCCTTATAGCGATTTAGCGGATGTAACCTTAGAGCACGGTTGGCGAACTGGAGCTATAATAAAGGAATTAACGGTAAATAGTTTAATTATACATAATATTATCTTAAACGTGAATCTGAACTAAGAGTAAATGAAAAAACAAATCTTGAATCAATTTTATAACAAGTGAATGTTATTGAAAATATTGATTTTACACATTTTAAATTTATTATTTTCAAAAATTAATCAATTGATAGAATATTTTTATGCATTACAGCATGAAATTGCAACATTAAATAACCCAAAATTCAAAGAAAATGCAAATTGGTTACAAATGCTAACAGGATTGATTGAAGAACATCAAGATTTTGAAGGACCAGATGTGCATACAATACTCGATGAATGGATTAAGGAAAGAGATGGATTAAGAAATGAGATAAAACGAGTATTTAATAAACAATTTGGCTCTGTGTTTAGAACATATCATAACCCTACATATTTTTCGAGAAGACTTTTTAGATTTGCTGATATTTATATGAGCTCAATCACAAATCTATTAGAATACTCAACGAGTCACACTTTTTATCCAAGAAGAGGTGTAATGCCACATGAATATACAAGTTATTTTGTGTAATATATAATTCTTATATTTAGATTTATAATTAGAGATATCCAGTGCTTTTGAACGTGACAAAACCTAATGGATCAAAAATCACAAGTATTTCCATTGAAATCTCTAAAAAAAAGTAAAAATATTAAAAATTAGATAGTTAAGAATTAGATAGTTAAATTTGCGTTTCATGTAAATAAAAAGAGAATGTTAGACTGTTTAGTGCATTAAAATTATGTGATACTTTGTGCAGAAGTATTTGATATATATAAATTACATATGCATCATTTTTTAGATTAATTAATTAATTTCTGCAAAAGTTTTATTCCACATATTTATCAAAAATGAATCAATATCATATATATGTAGCATTGTATGTAGAGAAATTATTTAGAATACATATCCAAAACATTTTGACAACAGATATAAAAGATTAGATGAATTAAAAAAAAGGAAACAAAAATTTTAATAGTATTATAGAGCAAAGAATGAAATAACTTATATAAAACAAAAATGTACTACTTATTTAGAATTGAAAACTATTCTATTTGATATATTTTTTCCTTTATGGTAAATGGATACAAGTTTACATAATTTATTCAGGTACAAAATTTGTTACACTAAATGCTAAAAATAATGTTCATAACTAAAACGCATATATATTTATCATAAATTTTATAAGACAAATATATGAAAATTATTTTACGATATTGTTATAACAAAGTACAATTTACGCTGAGCAGGATACAAAAGTTAAAATTAATAGGATTATATCTAATAACTGTGATTCTAGTTTGAAATGAATATCAAAGACAAGGTGTTTTTTTTATATTTACTATCTAAAATATTTACATTGCTATTATATATTGGGTAGTCTTCCAAGTCCTTAAATAAAAATCACTTTATAGTGCTTATAATTATCAAATAATGTTTAATAAAAAAGTGTATTATGTAATATAAACAACGTCAATTATAATTTTGAAATCTTGCAAAAAAAACAGAGAAAAATAACCACAAGAAATGATTCTTTAAATTCTAAATTATAATATGTAATCTAGTAAACCTAAGACACTATTGTTACGCCCACGGGACGTTGGCATCCTCGCGCCCATTAACCATCTTAGAATGAGAAACGTCACGAATCCGATTCTCACAGAGAAGTGTTACGTCCACGGGATGTCAGTATCCCCCGCGCCCACCAACCACCCTTGATTAAAAAACATTACGTTTGCCGAACGAAATGCGGACCCGGTTCCTACGGGCGATAACGCCGGTCCACCCTTATCACACCCTTGGTATGCGGAGTCCGGGCATTATCGGAACACCCACCAAGGGCATCGTGAATATATAGATTGATCCACGGACGAAGCAGGCAGTTGCTCTCAAATCATTCAGTTGTAAAATTGTCAATAGGTCGTTAAGTTGTTAAGTCATCGTGTTCGTTAAGTTATTAAGTCGTTCAGTCACTAAGTTGTTAAACCACAGTGATTTCTGTACCTTAAGCAAGAATAAATCACCATTGTCTAAAGAAAAACCTGAAAAGTGAGAATATAAAAAAATCATATACATAGTAGTCCCATTTTTAATATTAGAATTTTAGTATACGCAAAAAGTATATATACATCGAATTAAATTAGACAATATCAAAATTCTTAATGTACGAATAAAAAAGATTCTACTTAACATCTTTCTTATCAAAGTAGTACAGTAATTAGTTTTAAAATGTTTTGTTTCCTCTAGATATAAATGTGTTCAAATGTACGTAAATAATTATAATAGTCAATAAAATTAAATTTAGACAATATTATTGTTTTTTCAGTGTTTTAATTTTCTTACTAATCTTTCCTACTAACTTGATTATAATTTGATTTTTAATATACACGTTTAATAACCACCCTTTTAACTTATCTAAAATAAATAAAATAATTTAGATACATCAATATATTAACTCAATACATTAAATCATTTTGTTTTATATCAATCATTATATAATTTTACTAATTTATTTTTTTTAAATATTTTTAATAGTATTTATAATTTAAAATAAATACCGAAGGAAATTAACGAGAAGTATAAAATAATGCAATATTATATGAGCATTATTATATAACTGTTTTATATAGAAAATTATAAGAAATTAATGTCTAAAAAAAAATTCATTTATAATTATTATCCTTATTACAGCAAGAATTGTAAATAAAACTTATAGAAAGTTATATTTTCAATCTAAGAATAATATTTCACATATTTGAAATGTAAAATTAGAAACAATACTAACATTTTAGAAAAACAAGTGAATTTTTATAATTTATCAAATACTTTGTAACAGAAAAGATAATCCTAAATATTGATTTAAATAATAATATAAATAAATTATAAATGTTTTATGGCATAAATTAATTGTAATTATACAATAATATTCGTAATATTGGGTTTGATAACAGTGAAAATCCATTATTCAGTAACTAAATTAATAAATTCTAGGGAAGAATTACTACTTAAAAGAAAATTTAAGTACAAATATATCAGTACATATTGAAAACTTTATAGAATACATTAAATATTTAAGAGCATTTTATATAAAAATTTATATAAGTGTATTTTATATAAAAATACTCTTAAATATTACATACAAATGATACAAATATGTTTGTATAAACTATTCAAATATATTTAAACAAATATTAGAGATACAGTATTTACATAAGTTCTCTCACACTCATGCGAATACAACACACGCACAGCACTGTCCTACATATGTTTATCAACATCGAATACAGTCACTTCATAGTATATCTCTGTAATCTATACCTGAAGTGCATCTGTACACAATGACTATATTACCGAAAATGATTTTAATAGTTACTCCGTCTAATCATCGCATAATTTTAAGCTAAACTCAATAATCCACAGCCCGCCGCTGTAAAATTTAAGTGGCACTTTCGCCACCATATATCCTATAGTTTCATTAAAATGCTAATTCAACCACGACTTTCGTATATCAATGATAAGAAATTTACATGTACAGAATATTCACATTACTGAAAACTGATTATACGTTCAGTCTGCATTATTTATGTTGTTTATTACTTGTTCAGTAAGTCAAAACTCAAAATTATTATAATCAGAATATTATAAATTATTATAAATAAAATATTAAATTATGTGCTTGTGTTATTTACATTACGTATACGTTAAATTTCAATAACAAATTACCAACTGAGAAATGATAGTAAGAGTAATTTGCGTGTGACTTTGACAACAATTTAATCTTTAATTATATCTTATGATTCATTTTAATTTATTATTGGTCATTTTTCTTGACTTACTGATTGATTACTAATTTTTTGCGTACAGTCTTCTGATTACATGCAGATGCATGACGTATAACGATAAGTATTTACTTTAGCAAGTTTGCTCAACATCTGCTTACACCTTTTTTTTTTTACAAAGAATGTTGTATTTTAATGGTAGAAATATATTACTTTTTTAACATCCTCCGATCTGTATTCCTTAATATTAAAATAAACTAATTAAAAAAGAAAAGAAAAGAGAGAAAAATGGAGATATAAGCAGATTTAGGGCAAAGCTGCTAAAGTAAATAATTACCCGTATAACTACCGACGAGGTAGATCAGCAAAATTAAATTTCAGCTAAGGTAGCAGAAATCATGTCGCATACATAACGACATTATAAAAATTTAGGAATTTTATTTAAGCTAGTAGCATGAAAATAAAAAAGATGTCTAATTAAAGTGGAACTTAAATTGGAAGGGAGAACCATGGAATTGATGGAATTCTTGGAAGGGATTGAAGCCTTGATGTTTCCCTGATTCAGGATCTAACGGATCTTCTCCTTGATCAAACTTTGCTCTTTTTTCATCATCAGTTAATACTTCTTTGGCAGCTGCAATATCAATAAATTTTTTCTCTGCCCGTTTCTTTTCGTCTCCTTCTTGAAAATTATCAGGATGCCACTTTTGTGCAGCTTTTCTATACGCTTTAATAATATCACGTTTAGACGCTGTTCTTGGCACACCCAAAATTTTATAATAATCTCGTGATTCAGAAAGTTTTTGTCGCTGTTGCGCTTTATGAAGACCTTGTTTTGCTCTTTGTAATCTCATATCAATTTCTAAAGCTTCTTCAAAATCTTTAATTGCTTTTGAAAAATAATACTTGTTATTAAATCGTATAAATGATAAAAAACTTTGTACAGTATATAAAATATCCAATTTAATCTCCATATATGATTATTTTTAAAGCTATTTATTATTCAAATTTACTATATTTTAAACTGGATCTTGTGTAAGTAAATGTTTTCAACAAGGTGTTTCTTTGTTTTTTTAAATAAACCTACTAACTTAACTTGCTTCAAAATGAATTATTAATTAACAACATATGGTTCTTTTATGATCATTGAAGGTCTGATATTCAAATGTACTAAACATTCATCGAATATTATTCCATTTTTGTAAATCTAAATATTGTTAAATAGTATGTAAAAGATTAGTATATTGCGCGTGCGCCTATTTGATATGTGTGTAGTATAGATACACATGACACAGGGCACTCGACCTTTGATTGTATATAATGATTGAGAAATGTTCCTCACCTCACCAGAGGCAAGAAAAGGGCAAGAAAAAGATAATGCGGACACGCGAGTCGCATCTGGATCTGATTAGCAAAAGATAATAAAGTGTTTTTTTTTCTTTTTAGTAGATCCTTAGATTTTAAATTTCACCCAATATCCCTACAAGTATTATCTGTGAGTTCACCTCATGTTTATAATCGTGCCGACAAATTTTAAAAATAACAAAAATTATATTTGGCAAAACTGAACAGCAAACTATTGTAAATGACTTAAAATCATCCAAAAAAATGCTGTATGCATTAGGTTAATGAATTTTTATTGAAACAAGTTAAGCATTTAGCTAACAAGGATATTAAAATCTATGTAATTAAACAAAAGCACAAGATTTGTGTCTATTATAAGAGATCTCTCTAAAAATTGAGAGAGAGAATAAATCTATTTGAAACAAATTTAGAAATAACAAATAATTTTAGAAATAAACATATCTGAAGATAAAACTAAGAAATCCTATACAAATATAACTTACCATCATCAAACATTTCAGCAGCAAGATATGCTTCTCCTCTATCACAAAATACTTCAGCTTCTTTTCTTATTTTTATTGCTTCATGACAATTTTTAATTGCCTTGCTTGGTTCTAAGTTACCAACATAACATTTACAAAGCTCCTGATGAGCAAGAAAACGAACATTGGCTACTTGTGGTTCATGTTTAAGAATAGGTTGAGCAGAATCTATACATTTAGCGTAATCTCTTTGATCTCTATACGTTCTTGCATCTGTTAATAGTTTTGCTATTTTCTTAACTTTTTTATAAAATGAAAAGCACTGTGAATGTTCTGGATCAAGTTTCAAACATTCTCGAATTTCCCTATGTATTTATAATTATATGTATATAAATTTAAATATAAAATAAATAGTTTTACATTTTAGTATTACTTACGTTAATGATTCTTCAACTTGTCCAAGACGATAATGTAATGTGGCTGTCTTTAAATATCCTTGTGTATTGTCTGACTGTAATTTGGTTGTAGACCGTATATCAGAAATAGCACTAACATAATCTTCAAGTGCTTCATAACATTCAGCTCGGCGTTCTCTAAGTTCAGCTGACCATGGGCATACTTCAATAACTCTGGAAAGCTGTTGTGCAGCAGTTGTATAATCGCCATTCTTTATTAATCTGTCTACAATTAACAAATCTTTTTGGGCAGGTACTATTTTATATAAGGCATTATAGGCATCTGAATTATGTGGTTCAACTGCCAACTATGTTGAATAAAAAGTAAAAAAATGTAATATAATAAAAGTATGTAATTATGAATTTATATTTTTAAAAATTATAAAAATATACCTACCACATCTCGAAAATCAACTTCAGCTTTCTCGAATTGAGCTTGTTTAAGCAGTACATTTCCACGTTGCAATCTTGCAGATGTAAAATCTGGTTTCAATTCCAAAACTCTATCAAGATCAAGGAGTGCAAATTTAGCTTTACCTAATGCTAGATATACTGTGCCCCTTTTATAATATGTCAAATAGTTGTTTGGATCTCCCTCTATAAAAATGATATTTAATAAAATTTAATAAATTTTCTTTTCTACAAACTTATAAAAATTGCAAACAACACTTACCAACAGCTGCATGATAATGTGATAATGCATCCTGTAATTGTCCTTTTGCTAAAAATTCTCTACCTAATTCCAAGTGCCTATCAATTTCTAATTGGGAAACACTCCCAACAACTGAAATTTAAGCTCATTAAATATTATACTATAAAATAGTTATATTAAAAGTATCGTGGGTTAAGATTATTTACCATCTAACGACAGATCCAATAAGACCAATAATAAACCACAATGGTACATGACTGAATAAAAAATTGAACCACGATAATACGAATACTTCAATACATAAGAAAACAAACTAGCTGGCTTTAGAAGTTTCTACTTAACCACCCGATAACATAAAACTGTTCAGCCACACCGCCATTGCGATCGTGGTCTTATACGATTGGTCCAAATTACTCCACAGAATTGGCTTTTCGTCATCACCACTCATGAGCCGCTATAACATTTTAGATATTACACTAAAAACAGATAGTATGATGTATAACTGTAGCACTATTCAAATTTTTTAATGTTTCGAACTTTTGACTTGAAATACAACAAAATTAAAGTAATTATTAGTAACCACTTCTTTGATTTCTATGAAATTGATTGAAGTCTGTTATTAGGGACATCATTTGCAACAACTATTCCCTATACATGTACTACCAATTGGTTTAATTTCGAAGATATTCGAAAAATTCTTTTCCTAGAATACATTGAAATTTGCTATGAATATGAGTACGTGGCAGTGTACGAAGAATTCGTGGCTTCTTCTTATCTGTCATTCCTATAAATGATAGAAGTTTACTTTAGGACGTTTGTTCTAAATCAACTTATTTGTTTCTGTCTTTTTTAAAAAATACTATATTCTAGTATTCTATAAGACGTTTAATAAATCAGGGGAGTTTGAAAAAGTAAAACTAGCAAAAACACATATTTCTTCAAGTTTTATAATGTATATTTCTTTTTAATGTCAAAATAAGCCTATTTTGTAGTATTGAAGTAAATTTTTACCCGTAATAATAGGAAATATGTAATTTCATAGGAAACATGAATTTTGTCATTCTGATTACAAACTTTCCATCGATCAAACCTTGAATAGAATATGTACCATCCATTGAAACATGGAACATTATCCAACCAGAATTCGTTAAATTCGTATGTAGTAGCCTCGCATATAACGCGGTTAATATGTTACAGGAAATCATGTTATATGAAAATTTTCCTTGTATAACACGAATTATATAAAATAATGTTGGGAATAATTATAGTTATATCAATTTTTGGTTTATATATTTTATCAATTAGAACAGTTTTAAAATAATATATATTACTAATACATGTAAACAAAACTTTTTTATTTCATAAAAATTCAAAGAAAAATACATAAATTCAGGAAAAAATAATTTAAATTCATTTAAAAAATTCATTATAATTAAACACAACCTGAAAAACAATTTGGTAGTATTGTTTAATATATAACGCACTGCACGAGGAATCGCGTTATATGAAAATAATAGTTGCAATATTTTTAGTGCTTTATTTTTATTATAAAGATATCTTTGTGACACCTTTACTATAGAAATTAAAAACTCGCGTTATATGGGAGTCCAATATATTTAGAAAACTTCACACAAAATATAACGAAGGTTTAGAAAATCATTCCTAAAAAATACTTCCAACATTCTGTATATCATAGAAATTATAGCTTTCGTTGCTACAAATACATTTAACAATGGCGGTAATATATGTTTACATGTGGGAGATGTGTGGGCGTTGCTACTTTGCCGTGAAGACTATTGTATTGTCAAGGACAACAGCTGATCAAGGAAGGCACGAAATAAAACGCTACGGATTATGAAAGTCCGAATTGAAAGAAAACAAAGTTATTATATACGGGAGAATATGAAGCACAAGAAGATATTAACAATTCATTGTAAAATATCGAATGCATTTTGACTTCGTATGTTTAACACTAGAACTAGAATCCAAAAAGACTGGTCTCAGAATTTTACTTTTTGCAATTATTATAAACATATACCTGCTATTAAAAAAATTAATGTTGACTCGTATTGAGATAGAACTGTAATTAATATATTTACTTACCTTCATTGTATCACTAAAATTACGATCTATGCCCACTATGTTTAGATTAGTCATTAATGGTTGGTAGTCTAGTGTTAACGACCATCGGCATAATTATTGTCAATTTTCAACTTTTTTTTACGTTATAATTCTTTTTTATTTTTTCTACTCTATAAGTTTTCATTTAACATGAAAAAGAAAATAAAATTTTATTACAATTTTAAAATTGATATATTTTTATTAAAATATCGTAATCTTGTCAATTTTCAGAAAATTTGAAACGCGCTTCTATGTATATTGTCACGAGATCCGGCTCTGGGGGGGGGGATACACGACGACAGTATCCATAACTCCCGCAAGGGTCAAGACAATATTAATTAAGAAACGGTAGGATTGCCGATAATTCACGACCAATTCACATATGGATAATTAAGGAAAATGTTGCTGCAGATTTATGAGTTATACGTGCGAAGTTAAATTTCGCGCCAGTAGGTAGACGAAGATGGAGAATAAGAATGAAGTACGACGCTTATGTGGACAAAGCATAATCTGCTTTATTCTTAGGAGGCTTTAGTTTTATAATACGAGTTCTTTAAGTTCGAATTGGTGGGGAGTGGATCGCGTGCCATGCTTAGGTGTGGTGTCAGTGATAAGGTATTGGAGGGAGTTACAATATCATGACCAATGTAATGAGTAGATAAGGATTGCCCCATCTTAACGTCAGGTGATGACAAGAGTATATATAACATCAGGTTTCGCCCGAGCTTTCAGGGTGTTATCTGGAGTGCGTGCGGAAGGATGAGTGACCGCGCGCAAGAATCGTATGAACGGGATGTTTATGGGAGCATTGATTTCAAGTGAAGAGTGGAAGTCTAGGAATGCGTCTGAATGTTTAAGCTACGTGACCCACTGAGGGTAAGGCTGCGAAGAGTGCGTGAGAAAAGCATGATTGAGACAGAGAACATGAGTATGAAAGAGGATAGGGTGTATGGTTTAAATAAGGGCGCGAGATATATAGATAGGGTAGTAGTCGAGACGTAGTGAATAAGAGGATCGTGTGTTTGAGAGTTAAAATTGAGAGAAATTTAGTGTAATATTTTAATTAAATAAACCTGTTTTATTATTAAAAAAGAAATTCTTTTACCAATTTTTTTTCGCGTAACAACCAATACGGTATATTATAATAAAATTTTGTTTCAGTTTCATTTTTCAGACTGGATGATTGTGTGAACTAGAATTATTCCATCAATGTCGTTGTATTTTCATATTACTCGTGTGCGGAAATAAATTTATTAATCACATTGTTTAAATAACAGTAATTTTTTTATGTAATATACAATTAATCACCTTTGTAATAAGAAACAAGTCAAATCAATTTATTAAGTATTAAATAATCAAAAAAGTTTGTGAAATTTTCGTTTGAGTTTGATACAATGTCTTGTCGAATCCTATCAGAATTGTATATATGTATATAATTACATTAATCAATACGATTTTTGTTACAGAGTATTTACACTGATTACTATGTACGTTTCGGCGTTGAATCCGAATCTGCAATATTTTTTTATATCACGTATAGTTTTTTTTGTGATTCCACATCGAATTGTAGACAAATTTTGAATTCGTGTTTCATGGTGTATTTACATAATTAATATGTAAATTGAATTTGATTTTAACTTATTGTTAATGCATTCTGGAGAATAAATAATTGAATAATTTCAAATAGATAAATAATTGAAATAAATCCTCTTTTTGTTTTATCAGTTTGTTGCACGTGCTGAAGTGTTGAACCGTAACGGCATGATTCCACTGAGGCAACACTGTACGACTAGTAGCATATATCAACAAAATTTGCAACCCAGAGCACGGAGATTAACTGTAAACACGAAAGAGAGGGATGGATTTATGAGGTACTTTACATCATATGAATGATGTAGCAAGATCTTTCTTGATGTTTTGAGATATATGTGTATGGTAGGAAAGGTGTAATAAATGAATCGAACAATGCAACTTACTCTGTAGCTATATTTTTAAAAATATTAACTAAATTTATATACTTCAAAATCTCCACCTCTAGCAATTGATGTGGTTTTCCCTGACATATTAACATCTAATAGAAAATTCAATATTTCGCAAGTGAACCACTTTTATTTTTTTAGAGATAACTCCTACACTTTTTTTTCACAATGAAAAGTTAAGTATAAATTCTTAATTTTTTTTTTTTTTTAATTAAAGTACTTTTTATATAACCTCTACACAATTTGCTTTTATTATTCCATAATTCTCCCGAATTATAGTAGTCTTCGATAAAGTAGGTGATTTTTCCTATATTACACTTCATATCCTATACTACAAGTCGCACTAATTGACTGTTGGATAATTGACAACATTACTCGACAAGTGCAGTTTCATCGAATCTTTTTGCACTTTTTTCCATAGCAAAGCAAATTAATGTGTAGTAGGTACATATGCTTACGTAGCTTTTTTGTGCTACATAACCTGTACATTTGTTTCAGACTGCACGTCGTATGCGACACGTTGCCTAAATATTGTTGCCTCACTAGAATCACGCTTTAATGTGTGACAATACATCTGTAAAACGGACATTGTACCGTTTATCGTAATACACGTTGTTTCGGCGCTCGTGTACTCGATAAAATGCGAACTGTAGACTACAAACTCATCGTTTATTTCCGTGCGACGACTAAGAAGTTTATTTTTATCATTCGTGGTAGGGTCTTGGGAAAGCAGATAACCGATTAGCGTGCAGACTTGGATTATTGGCAATTCTTTGCCGTATAGTTCTGTGTTATCGATTGTAACTTTGTCAATTTTTAGGATATTTTAATGAATCTTTTACAGAATATCCACTATGCTATATATACATATATATATATTGAAATAAATAAATAAAATTTGTGTTCTGAATTAAACAAAGGTACGTCCCCTCCCTTCCTTAAGTCAAAAGATTCGCGACTGAAAGTTTATTGAAAATTTATTTGCTTCTAGACACATTCCGCTTTTCCTTTTCTAAATGTATAAAATAATGAAAATACATACTCCGTGAAATTTAAGGATATTGACACGCTTGTGCTCTTAACTTTGAAAACCAAATTTTTAAATTATCTGTGTGAACAACATACATATTTTTAATAATTATTTAAAATACTTTGTACAAATTAATATTTTTCCATGTCTATTGTGGATAAATTACTTTGCCAATGATGCGAATATAAAAACACACAGGTAATTGTTTCATTGAAGCTAGGTGTACGAACTAAAAATTATTTGGTACAAAAGATTATGCAATTTTTTAAATCCTACAATATAAAAAGGAGCTACAGTAGTAGAAATACATTTGCAAAAAATATAAGTAAAATTGGATTGCAAAATACGTTAAATAAAATATGCTTGGAAAATATCAGAATATTTTGATCTATGCGTAAACTGTAGGGTAAAAAGGTATACATACATACATACATACATACACACATCCATACATACATACATATATACATATATATATATTTTATGTGTGTATATATATATATATACACGTATTCATACACGTATATAGATATAGGCATACATAGATGTACATATAGAAAGAGACTCTACACTGCATAATCTTTTCCTTCTTTATTATACGATTCATTTTATAGAATTCTCCTGTCACTTTGCATAATACTATAAATAAACGAATGAATCACTAAATGAACGACATTTAAATAATATACGTGATCCATCGTCTTTTATGAGGTATTTGTAACAATATTGACACTCTACATCATTCTTCACGGAACACACATGTTGCTTGACCTAACCGCAAAATGCACATGCTTTCCACAATGCGACTATAATTTATTGCTAATGAACGACAAGTGTATACATATTATGTATATATGTATATATCCACGCACACACATGTATACATAAATGTATGATACACTTTGTAAGGTTAAGTTGACTTCCCTTTTAAATTTCAGACACTTTATTTTTATTACTTCATTCAATAGCCGTACGACGTACAGTTGTTTGCAGATTTTTCCTACTTCTCGTATTTTTCTCGGTTCACCTAATGTAGCGTGTAAATGTGCAATTATTAATTAAGAGACCGACAGAATGGTACATTCACCGTTCCGTTTCTTAACTCTTTCACACTTTTGCCATTTGCTCGCCATCTCAGTGAAGTAGATATATAGTAGTATCATTAGAGTTACAAGTGAATGATACAACGAGCGTCATTCGCCGTAGAAAAATGAAACACAGCCATTGAGACTCGTATCGAAAGCACAGAAATTTCTGCGCTTCCCATGAAGTTTGTTCTTTCGTTATTTTTTTTTTTTTTCTTTTTTTTAATACACGTCTTGTCTGCGTTCTCGATTCAACGACAAGCGACGCTTCTCGATTAAATAACATTCATAAAAGTTAGAAGACATTTTTTGCCATCCCACTTAGTTTTGCTCACGAATATTTTCCACCTACGCGTGTGCTCTTTTCACTTCACTTCTCTCTCTCTCTCTCGCTCTCTCTCTCTCTCTCTCTCTCTCACTCTCGGCCCGCTTTCATCTTTGCCCTCTCTCTCACATTCATATCACGCACATACGACAACTCAACGCTTTTTCCTTCTTCTTTTTTTTTCTTTTTCCGCTTGAGTATTAATATTTTACCTTTTCACCTTAAACAGAAGAGTGCTCGAGGTAGACTCATAATAAGCGCATATAAATTTTTCTGTCTCTCACCAGGAGCAAATCGAACAAGAGTGTTCATTCGAATTTTCGAACATGCGTAACGTAAAAAATAAGACAGAAAGAAAACCATGATATATATATACAACACGCCACAATTGCCGATGCCTCCTTCCCTCTCGCCGACATTGTTGCGCGTTGTACACAGTAACATATGGCTTATAACGTTTCTCTCTCTCTCTCTCTCTCTCTCTCTCTCTCTCTTTCTCTCTTTATTCCTTTCTCTCCCTCTCTCTCTCTCTCTTTCGTATATGTGCTTTGTAATTGCGCATTCTTTTCATTAATAATGATTGCAGTCACAGTCAAACGCCACTTTTTTTTTCTTTTTTACATAATATGTAATGGTTACTATTCGTAGCCCCCTCTCGTCTCGTTTCTTCGCACTACACTTTAATTGATCTTTGTCTAATCATTCCACTCTGCGTAGTTCCATAAATGTTTTCTAAGGCTGCTCGTCCGATTTACTTTAGAGGACCAAACATAATATTTAAAGGTATTTTTACAGTACAAATATGTGACTGTTCTTCCGAGAGAAATAACATAATAAAATAAATACTTAACACCTTAATAAATAGTCTCGTTTATTACACCATCTTCCTATTTTCTCTAAGGATGCTAATACGTTCTAAATCATAATACCGTACTTGAATTTATACATTTACCAGTTACGAAACGGTGGACATCTGACTATCGCACAAGTATACTTTTTTTTTTCGATCTTCGCTTATCTTTTTTCTGGTTTTTCATTTTCCTCGAATATGAAAGATACGATAGCTACGCATTGCTCAAATTCAATCGTGTCACTGGAACACCTGTTGGTTTGTAATATGGGAAACGGAAAGAACGAAGAAGAAGCACGCATGGAATTAATGACATCGCGATTGCTCAATGATCAACACCACTGTTACGTATAAAAATAGCGTTACAACTAGGAGAGAAACAAGTATGAAAATACTTTCGTGTATGGTTGTTATTCGCATAATCTCTGTCCACCACATTATTCGTAAATGAACATATTACTTCCAACTGCACAAGACTAATAACTTACACTGACGCGTCATATGTATTCGTTGCCTGAGTGAACAATTGGACAGTAAAATCCGGAATTTCTCCAGCTCCGAGTACAGTTATCAAAATTTCAAAACACGGAATCTGTCAGCAGGGTGCGTCAACAGGGTCCATCGTGTTCCACCGATTACGAATTACGCAAAGGAAAAAGAAGAGAAACGTATAATTACACACACACACGCACGCACACGCGTATGTATACAATATATAAAAGAAAAAATTCGGAATAATAGTGTCCAAAAGTCACCGTATCTTTTTCCCTATCGCAGTAAAATAACGCAACGCAATACAGCAAAGCCGTTATGCAAAGTTTGCACATGTAGTACCACTTACAAAATCGACATAAACATTTTTATCGAGAAAAAAAAGAAATAAAAATGATGAGAGAATAATAATAATAATAATAATAATAATAATAATAATAATATTATAATAATAATAATAATAATATTAATAATAATAGTAGCAGTAGTAAATAAGAATTACAGCGATAGTGGTACTAGTCGTAGTAATAATAGCAATCTGACGGCATGATCTACTATCTCTTAAACAGACTAATGTCCAACTGAACAATTGTGCCGTAAAATTGTACACTATATAACGAAAAAGTGAACGATCACTTTTCGTTGTGAATTCTTCTTGTAATGTTCTTGGCAGGGCCTCCGAGTTGACAAACGGACTCGACGATAAATCAATCATATTAGAATTTGAAACCACACGCACCATGGTCGGAAGCCAACAATATTATTCGTAACACTATTTGAAAGTTCTAGTTGAAATAATTATCCCTCGTGAAAGAGGCATTCACACCTTGGTCCACTGTCACACGGCATACGATTCACGCACGCGATTGCACTATAAATCTATTAATATAACAGGTATAAGTATGACATGTCTAAAAATCCTGTCAGTTGTCACGCAAATTGAATTTGTACTTTTTCTCACATAGATTAGGTAAGAATCCGACACGTTTGCACAAAAGATATCGACATTCTATAAAGCCCTACCAACATCATCAACCAGTAATGACGCGTTTCACCGTTATTATCTATTATTAATGCGCGTTTATTTTAAGTAGAAACAATGCCCCAAAAACGTGTTTTTAGGACTGTAAGAGGCTAGCGTTTAGCCCTCCCCGATCGGACAACAGCCACGTTGTTCTTGATGTTCTATTCACTTTTAACGACTTAATATTTCCATCCTCGGCTCAAATAACTGAGCTTATGCTTTCCTGACATTCAATACCGATTAATTAATACATTTAATATTTGTATTTCATTAAATTGTTCATTTATCAATTCACATGGAAATTGAATGTCACAAGATCGTTCGATATCACAGTCGTTTTTCAATTATTTTAATGTTTATGTATTTACGAATATTACTTAGTATGTATATATATATAGCGTATCGTACTGATAAATACAGTTAGAAAATATGAGTGCGCCTTTATGCATCCTTATTTCCAAAGGGCTTGCTTTTTTATATTTTCATTTTTTTTTTTCTTTCTCTCGTTTTGTCTTGTAAGGTTGAGCCAACTAACAGCGTATATATTTTTGCTCCTTTTGTTTTCATTTCTTTTGAAATTCCCCTCTGTAACTGCAACCGTATATTTTTACCCGTTTTTTTAAATGTAAGCTTTCTCGTTCTAGAGCACTCGCATTCAGTACTGCGATCTAAGATTTTTATAACGCACCGTACCAGTTTGACAGGACAACGTCTTTGTTACGTTTAGAAATTCTAATTAGAGTACATTAAAATTCAGGTACAAATATACCTGACGTGTGCTGAAATTCTTCAGCCTACTCTAAATACAATGACCAAACTTTTAAATAAAATAACTCTTTGAATTAAGAGTTACAGAAGCAACAAGTTTACAGCATCGGACTTTTAAACTTACTTATATATTAACAGGACGTGACAGAAATATAAACGAGATTTCTAAAAGTATCTGAAGACGCAGCCTGTATCCTTTTCATAACATCAAAGCTTTCGACTACTGAACACTTTACGCGATTTAGTCGATTAAACCATGATATTGCCGGCGCAACGTCGTCTGTGTCTGGGGACGGCAAAACAACAAAGTACCATTCGTCGCTGGATTATAGTAAATTTAAAACAGGAATCGTGACGAAATCTATGGCGATGGCGATATGGCGTATCCTAGGCGCCTAGTCAAATATACATGCGTTAAAAAAAAAAAAAAGAAAAAAAGAGAGAAAAGAGTAAGAAAGAAGAAAAAAAAAAGAAAAAAGAAAGGAAGAAAGAAAAAAAGAAAGGAAGAAAGAAAGAAAGAAAGAAAGAGATGGCGCCATATTCGTTTAAATTATATTACACAAGTTACTGGCCATCATCTAGGCGAGAATAATAAAGCACTTGTGCATTTAAAGCTCTATGATTACATGAATCTAGACGCCACGATTCTCGAAGATACGCCCACCACGTCCTTCAAAAATTTTAATAATGAAGCCACAACGAGCCCCATAGTCTCGACAGGAGTTCTAAAAAATTTTACTAAGTTTCTTCACCTACTACGTGTCACATCGTTATGCCCTAGCTAGACATTAACGACTGCCCGATTTGATTCGTTAATGATTATACTATTTGTGTTCTTCAATACGCATAGCAACGAAACCTTGGATGGATCCTACATTTTATCTAGTATCTGACAAATCCTGATAACTATTTGAACCTCTTAAAAATGAGATCATTATTATCATTCATATGATTATTTCCTTCACAGTTCTTAATGCTGGGATTGCATTTTAGATTTGTCAATCGTGTTTCGTCGCACGCGAATAAAAGTATTTATGGAATTGAATAAACACAATTATTTCTTTTCTTTTTTTTGTTTGAAAATTGTAGTGCACAGGCAGTCAGCGAACGTGATTTGTTATACGCGATACTGTCTTTTCTCGTGTATACGTATACGCGCGTAAATACGTGCGTGTTGTATCCGATGTGTATGTCGTACGTGTCTTTCTTACATATATTTGAATTTACGTGTACAGTAGTAATAATGGTAAAAGTGAAAATAGAGATGGTGATAATGATTTACTTGTCCCACCAATCAGGATCATTACTGTTGACGTTGTTAGCAGAATTATTATATGATGAGTTGCCATAATTACCTCCGTAATTTCCGTAGTTTCCTGTGGAAGAGAAATAATAAATACGTATAAATATCATTGATACTTCAATTCTTAAAAAAAAAATCATCTTTTATTTTCGAAGAAACGTATGCCAACCTCCGTAACTGCCAGGCCTATTGGAGGAACCATTATTACGAGCAGATCCGGAACTAGGTTGCTGACGATAATCTCTAGCACCAAATCCACCGCTAAATCGGCCTTTAGTACTTCCGGCACGTCGAGATCCACCTCCGGAATATCTTGCTTCACTAAACATGTCGTCTAACCAAGGCGGAAGTTCTTGATTAGCTTCAACTAGGAGAGATACCAAGTCGCGCACCAAGTTAATATTCTTGTTGTTGAAAAATGACGTTGCTAAACCTATTGCATAAATAAAAGTAAATTATTAAAAAAGATACATGTGAAATAATAAATATACTATAAAACCAAGGAAAAAACGAACCTAAATTTCCCATACGACCAGTACGACCAATTCGGTGAACATATTCTTCCACATCTCCTGGTAAATCGAAGTTTATTACGTGTTTCACGTGTGGAATATCTAAACCACGGGCAGCGACAGCAGTAGCAACAAGTATTGGCGTTTTACCAGCTCGGAATCGACGTAATGCTTCTTCTCGTTCACGCTGTGTTCGATCACCATGAATACTAGTGACCGGATATCCCATTTGATGTAAATATTCTTCCAACATATCTGCACCTTTTTTTGTTTCCACAAACACTAGAGTCAATGACTCGGCAGCTAAAATTTAAAAATAATTGTTGAACTTTATAACGTGTATATAATATTGTGATTTATAATCTATTCGAATTTTGATAACGTACAAGGATCTGAGAAATTGCTAGCTTGAAGAAGATCAAGCAAATAAGAACGTTTATCGTGTTCTTCCACCCATACAATTTTCTGAGTAATATTTTCAGATGTAGAACCAACACGGCCTACAGCTAAAAAGATATAATTACTGAGAAAATCTCTTGCCAACATTTGTATTTCCTTCGGAAATGTAGCTGAAAACATGAGAGTCTGTCTCTCCCCAGTAGGAGGCATTGTGTCCTCTTCAACTATACGTCTTATTTGAGGCTCAAAACCCATATCCAACATACGATCTGCTTCGTCCAATACTAAATATCTAAAACAGAAAATTTGACATTATATCATAAAATAAATATTCAAAATTAATAATTATAAATGTTTATACATACCGGCAATTATGTAACCCAATTTTACCTCGTCCTAACATATCTACAAGACGACCAGGTGTTGCTACAAGCAGATGACAGCCACGATCTAACTCGCGCATTTGATCCAAAATATTTGAACCACCATAGACAACAGCAGGACGCATACGTGATCTATATGCAAACTTCCGTGCTTCGTCATATATTTGTGTGGCAAGTTCCCTTGTAGGTGCTAATACTAGACCAAGAGGGTATTGTTTGCGCTTTCCAGAAGAATGTACTGGTGGTGGACGTGGCCCGCTTTCATAAATCTGATTTAATATTGGCACTAAAAAGGCCGCAGTTTTACCGGACCCTGTTTGGGCACAGGCCATAACATCACGGCGTCCGATAATAATCGGTATCGCATATTTCTGTACTGGTGTAGGTTTATCATAACCAGCCAAACTAATGCTATTCTTTATTATCTCCGTCAGCTTAACTTCGTCAAACTATAAAAGAAAAATAAAATTATGAAACATATGTTTTATTATTAACTATAATATCATCACAATACGTTTAATACTAAATTTATGGCCACTGTAATTTTAAAACTTACGGATGTGATGTGTGGAGGTATGTTATCTCCAGTAGCCTCAACTGGGATATCCTCATATTTACTAAAGTTAATGCCAGTATTCCCAGTACCAAACAATTCCTCCTCCAGTCGCTCGTCTCTGGAAGTGGGAATTGTCCAGTCGATTTCAGAGTTTCTTCTGCCTCCTTCCCTATCGTCCTTCCATCTACCACCCATTCTGTGATCATTTCTATTGTCTTGCCAGCGATCGTTTCTAGGATCTGGCCAACGATCATTTCCGGAACTAATCGGGCGATCTCGCTCTCGGTCACGATCGGAATTGGCATATCTATAATCTCGTCCATTTTCTTGATTGGCACTACGTCTGTTGCGCCCACCGAAACTTCCGAAATTTCCAAAGTCGGCATCGCGAGAACGTGTATCTCTATAACCTGAACCACCCCTGCCCCTGTCACGATCCCTATCCCTATCCCTTTCACGATCACGGTCACCTCCTCTATCTCTGTCGGAATATGGTCTTGAGTTGGAAGAAGAATGGTGATCCCCGCCAGAAGGTGCGTTACCTACAAGCAATAAATGTTATAATTTCTTTTTATTGCTCTCTAAATGAAAACATCAAAGTAGCAAATATATAATCACAGTATTATCAAAAAGCTCTACTGACTCATACATTTTATCAGTAGCAAACGTGCTTTTTACATCAATTCTTAAATGCTTGTGAAATATTGGGTACTAAATTTACATATTTCAAATAATTTCTTAAGCAAAAGAGATTAAGAAAAGTTATGAATTTACAATTGAAATGATCAACATAAATTTTTTAAGTCTTTATTTTCAAATTGAAGCTACGTATGTAATGAAAGTAAAATATAAATATAATACAATAATTATTATTAATGTACATACAATACTCACTTCCAGATTTATTTCGCAAATGCGGTGGTACGTAGCGACCCCCACTTGGTTGGCGGGAGCCCTGCAAGTCCAGACCAGCTAACTAAAGCACAAAATGTAAGTATTTAAAATCTCTTATTTCCAATATCTAATATTAAGGATAAAGAGTATTTTATAAAAAATTAATTTATTAAGATATATATTGTATATTCTTCATAAAACTAAAACAAATGGAAAAAAGAAATAGCTGAATTCATGCATATTTTATAATATCATTATATAAAATTGTTTTAGTAACATCCTTTTCCTTTCTTCTTTCTTAATGTTACGTTTAGCTGTCATTTTTCATTTTACTATCAACATGTTGCACAATAATTTTAAAAAGATCAATATTCCTATATGAAAGTTAAGTAGAAAGTACACTGTCAAATTTAAACTTTAAGTGAAACATCAAAAATATCAAACAGAACAATTCTATCATATAGAATATTATATATTTTCTAATAACATAATTAGATCATAACTAGATCATAATGTAAACTATTTTTTAGAGTAATATATAAAATTAAAAAGGATAAATGTCATTAAAAACTTTAAAAATTATATTGATATAATTAGTCCAATGTGTATTACATAATAAAGACTATAATAGTGTAACACAATACAAATCATGATATGAAAGAAATTTTATTTTCGAAAAACAAATGAATAAATATGCTTGAAATTTACAGAAAATATATATAACTGTAATAAAATAATGAAATAATATAAAATTTTCAACTAATGTTTTAAATTCTAAATAAAACTTAATTTTGAATGAAAAAAATAATGCATTAACAGAATTAAATGTGATATTAAATAAAACCACTGCTTTAGATTATATGACATCCAGTTAAATCTAAAGATATAAAAGACATTTTAACATTTCAAAAATAAACCTAACGTCTTCGGTTAATAAGTCACCGATACTTATATATATATTACTTTTAGTTTATAACATCCAGAATCAAATTGTTGTATGATATAATTTTCAAAATCTAAGTTCCTGTGAAAAAGTTCAAAAACAAATTAAACAATATTAAATTAAAGAAATATGAAAATAAATTGCAAATTTCAATAGTAAAAAACTAGTAGAATATCCACTTAAGTGTTTATAATTTTGAATAGTGCCAAATGAACATATGACAAAACATTGGAGTTACCATGTTGTGTAATTTTGTTGAATATTATCTCAATTACAATTAAATACTGTTTAAATTTATTAGTAAAGTAGCTGTATTTTTTTGTTTCTACTAATGTAATTACATATTATTTATTTTTACTAAATAATTAATTATTTATATTTTCAATAAATAATTAATTTGACAAAAATACTCATTACCTCTATGACAAATTTAAACAGTGAAGACAATGTTTTGTATCTTTTAAGTAAACAAGAACTTTATATTAGATATATCCGCGATATTGTGCGTAACTATATATAATATACAATTCATCTAATCATAAGAATTTAAATATGATAAAAAAGCAATGTGAGAATGCGTCATGGCACGAGGCTTGCTGTTCCTGGAATTGGTTGCCGCCATTACAAATCTGTACGTCACAAACGAACCTGACGATGACCCAAAGTCTATATAATTTTTGATGCGAGAAAAAATGCCAGCATAATTGATTTATATAAGTATAGGTTATAAAATAATGCTTACAGACTTTTAAACACGATTGTGTAAAATAAAATTTTTAAAATTATACTAAACAATAAAAGATTCAAGCAGAAAGAGTAAAGAGAAAAATGATAGATTGAGGTAACGGTTGTCAAAAATATCAAAAACCTTTAATTCTTTTTACCTGCTGCTCTAGACCTGATCCATTCTGGTTGGCTGCATTACTCATATTACTCCGCCTCGGTGCGTATTTTTCGTGGCTCTGCCTCAGCTCTTTAGCTATTTCTCGCCTAGACAATCACTAAGCAATAAATTTCAATTGTTCGTTCTTTTTTTCCCTACTTTCGTTTCTTGCTGAGCTACGAACAAAACTCGTCGATTAAGTCAAGTAGTTAGAATTACAGTTTCTGTCTGTCGATACTTCGATACAAAGGAAATTCGAAGACTGGCTACGATGAAAGGCCTCTGGCCACACTTGACGTCGACGCAACAAAAATGGCCGAGCGCCGAAATATTGCTAGCAAGATGGCTGACGACTTATATCCGCCGGATATCGAAAAAACTAAAAGAGGATACTTTGCTGGATAATTTTCTGACTGTTTATTATTTCCATTACACCCACGTATTACAGATTGAAATAGATTTATGGCTTACACATGATATTGAAATGAAATCTATGAATACGTTGTATTACTTTTTCAATTTACTATCTGTTGGTATCCGTGTTCGACATATGTGCGAATTTCAGAGTAAATTACTCAGCTAAGTTCAGATCTTGCAAATAAACTACACTAAAAAAATAAAACTATAAAATTACCATTCAACATCATTGAAAATGAATCTTTTAATAACAAAAATTGAATGATGATATGAATAATATTAACAAAATAAGTTTTTTTTAAATGTTTTATTGTATAAGTCTCAAAACTTAATCAACGTTTAATCTAATCGTCTTTCTTAGTATCGGTTTTTCCACCTCGGATTCTTCCTGTACGTCGCGCAGCAATAAGACCGATCTTACGACCAGCGCTAGTTCCACGTTTAACCGTGGATGCTTTACCAATATGTTGATGATTACCACCACCGTGTGGATGTTCAACAGGATTCATAGCAACACCACGGACCTGTAAATAAGAAAATTATTACACATTAAAAAATAAATGCAATAGTGTAATGAAATTATAATATGTATTAAATTTTAGAGGTGCTCAGTTAAAAATTTTCAACATATTGTTCAGGTTTCAAATGTCTAAAAACATCATTGGTAAAAATCCATTTTAGTAATAAAATATTAAATTTTGTATGTATTTTTAAATACTGTACCTTAGGCCAGCAGTTCCTCTTTGCCTTGTACTTGTGATACGCGCGACCAGCTTTAAGGATTGGTTTGTCAATACGTCCACCACCAGCAACAATTCCAACCATTGCTCTATTATTAGATGGTATAACTTTCTTAGCACCAGATGGTAATTTTACTCTGGTCTTCTTTGTATCGGGATTATGGGCTATAACTGTAGCATAGTTTCCGGAAGCTCTTGCTAATCGACCTCTGTCACCAGTTTTTTCCTCCAAATTACAAACAATGGTACCTTCAGGCATTTGACCAACAGGCATCACATTTCCAATTTGAAGATTTGCTAAAACATAGAACATTTTATATTATTGTTCTATATGAAAAATTTTTTAACGTTTTTTTGTCATGTACAATTTAATATATTTTAAATAATGTGTTTTAATTAAAGTTAGTTTACCTTTCTTTCCACAATAAAGGAATTGTCCAGTATACATTCCTTCAGGTGCAATAAATAATTCTTTACGGGTTTTGAATTTATATGGGTCTCTAAAATGAACAATAGCTAATGGTGCTCCACGTCCAGGATCGTGAATAATATCCTACAAAAATTACATAATTTTTGTTAATGAAAGAATATAACAAGAGTTATATTATAAAATGGATAATGATCTCAGAAAGAGCCTCTATAAATTATACTTCAAATTTTTACTCAGATGTAGGTATATTATAATTCATCATATATGTATAACTTTTAATAGTACGTATTGTTACAAATTAGAGTTTTTTCGATATTGTATTTTAACACAAAATTATAAAAACTAAACAAACCTTTACAACACCTTTGATGTATCCATGTCTCTCAGAAAAATCTAAGGAACGAAGTTTAGGTGCTCCCTTTCTCCTTTTTGTATGGGATCTGAACACAGACCCAGCACCTTTACGCTGAGCACGAATTACTCGACCCATGGTTCAAAATCTGTACATAGAATTATATGAAACGTTAAAATACTTTGTTCTTGTAACACTGAACACAATACAAAACGTGACACTATCTGTTATTTTTTGTACAGACATAACCTTTAAATAACACAAACAAAATTTAACTTAATTTCTTCTTTAAAAACTAAAATATTTCCAAAAATATCTAGACAATTAATAACTTTCTTTTAATAATAAGCGTTTTGTAATAGATGCATTTTATTTTTATATATCTAAAGGGATTTTAAATTAATGATAATCACAGGTAACATACCAGATGAACCGACATTAAATAGAGAAAGACGCAGCCGGAAATTCAAGCAACGTGTACAGCTTAAATTGGTTGCACTGCTTGCCCGCCAAAATATTTGATTTAAAAGAAGAAAATAAAATATACGTATATGTTAAAAGAAAATACTTAATATAAATTTCATTATAAACATAACAGTTTGTAAATGTTAATTTTATACTAGTAAGAATTGAAATATTTTTATTGTTATATATTTCTATATAAAATGCACCAACGTGAATGTGTTATCAATACTCACACTAGTTAATAAAACGGATATAGTAATTATTGTATTGCAAGCATTCAAGATGTATAGACGCATTAGCATAATTTTTATTATCTTATTTTATATATTAACAATAATTAATTCACATAGTTTAAAAAGACAAAAAAGAATTATTGGTGGTGGACCAGCTGCATTACCACCTGTGGATGATCCTGTTGTTTACGTAACACGAAGTGATAGACAAGCACGTATTTATGGTACTCGAGATCCAAATAAAGGATTTTATGTTTTTCGTGGTATTCGATTTGCATTACCACCAGTGGGTTTACATCGGTTTCAAGTAAGTAATTCTTTTGTAATAAATTTTTGAATTTAATTTTTTAAATTATATATAACGATTAATTGTACAATTTTAATTCAATAAAAGTCTACCATTTTATAGGGAACTATAGTAAAATTATTTTTCCTTGCTTACTACAGTTCAATTTTAAATAATATTTAATGATTCTTTCTTAAACGGAAATTTCATGAAATATTTTTAATTTACTTCACAAAATGTTTTCGGTAATATTGAATTTATTATAAATTAATTTATTTAAAAACTAATGCGTATCATAATGATATACTTTATCATTATACAATATACATAGACATTAGTTTATCAGCTCATACATCCTGTAATGATAATGTTATTTTTAATATATTTGCTGAAATAATATTGCTTCTTATGCAGTTAATTGTGAAATTTAATTTCGAAAATCTTTTTTTGGTTGCGTAACTAAAATTAAAAGATGGTGAGAATTCACGTTAAACACCGGGTAAATTATAAACTTTTATGAAAAGTAAAGAAACTAAAATTATTTTATATATAAAAAGGATCATTTACAAAGTATTAAATAAGCCTACTAGTTTGAATATTTTACGCATTTTATTTATACATATTTCTAACTGATATCGGGCAATACCCGATATACTGAGTGAAATAATTAACCGTTTGTTGATTACTGGAGAAATATATGTTATACGAAGAAAAATAATGAATCTAGTTTGTAAGAAAAAGAAAGATTCCATAAGATTTTGTTTTTCTTAGAATATTTACACCAGTTCAAAAATATTTTCATGAGAATGAACAAGGTCATTGAACATTACAATTATAACGATATAAGTAAAAATATCAATAAATTTGATAAAAATATTCTAATGATTTATTTAAATTAATTAAAATAATATAAATAAAATACACAACCAAATTAGATTTCTTTCATCTTGTATTAAAATTTTATATTTTTATAACGAATTATTATACTTCAAACGCACCAAGGCCTTTTCACACGAGATACATCGACTGTTGATTAATAAATTAAATATTTGTACTACATAAAAATAAAAGAATTTTTCCTTTTTTTTTTAGAGGCCTATCCCTTTTCATTTGGAAGGCGAAATTAATGCCACAAAATGGGGACCTCCTTGTCCACAACCTAATAGCATCAATGGCAAAGGAATTGTGGGAAGTGAAGATTGTCTCTTTTTGAACGTATTCACACCTATGCTTCCAGATGTTAACGACGGATATCCGGTGTTAGTTTGGATACATGGGGGTGGTTTTAGAAGAGGTTCTGCTTGTCAATACGAAATGCGAAACTTAATTAAAAAGAAAGTAGTGGTCGTGTCGATTCAATATAGATTGGGATCACTCGGTAATTAAATTAGTGATAAGTTTCCATATAAATATTATGCGTGACTTTTATATAATAATATCTGAAATATATTTTTTACAAATGGTATTATTGATTTGCTGAATAGGATTTTTGAGTATGGGTACGAAAGACTTACCGGGAAATAACGGTATATTCGATATGACACTGGCTGTTAACTGGGTAAAAGACTATATAAAATATTTTGGCGGAAACCCAAAACAAATTATAGCGTTTGGTCATGGTACAGGAGCTAGCTCTGCTTTTATGCTCACATTATCCAAATTATCGAGAAGTAAATCATACATGCAATGTAAAATTCTTACAATGATACTGAAAGACTAAAAAAATTTATATTTTGAATTTTTAGATATTTTTGGTGGGCTGGTCGCTATGTCAGGTTCGATTTTATCTCATTTTGCAATTGATAAAGATCCTTCATCCACTGCACAATATATTGCATCGAAAAATGGATGTCCCACGGACAATACAGTTGAAATGGTCCGCTGCCTTCAACAAATACCAGTTAATAGATTAATAGAAGCTGATTCTAACTTGGAAACTGCACGTTCTGCTATTCAGGGCTTTATATCCAGTTTATCGACTTTATTGGGCCCCGGTCCTGTGATCGAGGGCGACGATGATGCAAGGTACTGCACGTTTCTAAAATTATATTAATATTGCTATAAATTTGTAATTTTAATTCTATGTATTATATATTTTAATATGATTATATTGTTTTTTGAAGATTTCTTCCTAATCTTATCTCTAACACACCAGAAGATTCCTTACAATTCGAAGATTTTCCGGCTATACCGTTACTTATGGGAGTTATGGGTAATGAACTAGGAGGAGCAATTTTTGGTGATTATAGAGCTGAAGTTGAAAACAAATTACGTACCATTCCAAATTATTTGAAAGAGTATCTTATACCGAATTTACAAAACACTATCCCCAATTTTAATAATAGATCGCGTTTCATACCGGAAGCTTTTAGTAAATATTTTAATGATTTTAATACCCGAAATAATACTGCGCATATTGCTAAAGTAGCAGAAGCTATAGGAGATTCTGTATATAACGTTCCTGCCTTCCTTACTATTAATCATTGGGCGAAAAAAACTCAAGCTTTCTTATACAGTTTCGATCATAAAGGAAGTCGAAACTGCGGTAAAAGCTTTTTAGCAGGATTACCTGCAACAAAATCGAGAAATGTTTCAAATGGTATGCAATTTAAATTACTATTTTTTTTATGATATATTAGTGCATTTCATTGATATTTTTAATTATATTCATAGGTATAACCAGTCATGGTGATGATCTTGGATATATTTTCAACGAAAATACTATTACTGGTGAACCAGTACAATGTACTGAAGAATTAAATAAAGAAAATGAAAGTGTAGAAGATATTTTTACAAATTTAATAGTTGAATTTGCTAGAAATGCAAAATCCAATATAAGTTCATCTCAAAATAGTTCTTTATTTACAAATTTACTTCCAAGATTTTCTACAGCAACCAATTCATTTATTAGTATTACTTCAAAACCTCATATAATGAAACAATTTAGGTAAATATATCATGGATAATGATGAATTAAATTATAATAAATTATATTGTATATTTCTAAATATTATTTCAGATACTGTGAAATGGCATTATGGACAGGTCTTACAGAACGATTACAATCGACTATGTGTGAATTTCTCAAAACTACTGTGGATGTTGTGAAAAAAGCTACTCAAAATGTTATGGATACCATTGATAATCGTATTAAAATACCTAAAGAATCAGTTATCGGTCTTATATCAAATCATACTACTTTAAAAGACATAACGAAAATAAATGCCAATGGTTCAATTAAAAACAGGAAATTTGAAAAAGTAGATTCTATATTTAGGAAATCGTTTCAACGACCAAATATATGAGTTACAAAGAAAATTTGATATACAATGCAGAAATATTATATTTATATTTAACACTAGAACTACCGATCTTTAATGGGTACCTAACTATAACGTGCACAGATTATAGTAATTTCAGCGATACAATGAATATGAGTGAATATATTGATTACAATTCTTTCTTAATATGAGTTGATACCAATTTTATTCTTAAAGCAGGTGCATGTGTTTAGTGATTGTAAAAAGGAAAATTCTGGGACCAGTCATTTTGACTGGGTTGGTAGTCCTAGTGTTAATATACATTTATTTTAGAAATAAAATGTTCTAAATAATCGTAATTAATCGTTATTTTTTAGTACATCCTTAAACGATTGTAATATTTCATTTTCTTCTTCTTCTTCCTTTTCTTCTTTTTCTTCTTTTTCTTCTTTTTCTGTTAAAGGTTTTTTATTTCCTTCAGATATTTCAGAAGTATTTTCTGAATTACAGTTAACATCTTCTGTTGTATCCATACTTTCAATGCAAGTATCGTTAGTTTCTTTATTTGTAGTTAATAGTGGCTTGGCTTCTTCTGAAGTTTCTGTATTAATCATAGGTAGTATTAAAGTAGTCTCATTTGTTGATTTGTCACAAATGTGTATAGCTTGTTCACTTTCTACAATATTTTCATTTTGTGCTGTGACTGTCATTTGTTCTTCCACTGTACTACATTGTTCTTCTACTGTACTACATTCTTCTTCTAGACAAACTTGGTTTTCTTGGTTTTCTGTAATAGATACTTCATCTTCGGTAATGTTTCTTGCACTAGGTTCAATAATTTCATTAAAATCTGAATTTGTAACTTTTAATTTTTTATTTGCGGACAGTTCTGTATCTTCAATTGTAACAGTCTCATTATTAGATGAAGGTACATCATCCATTGTTGTATTACGTTCTTGTATATTGGTGATAAATTCGTTCTGTATTGTTCTAGAAAAAATTAATAATTTTGATTTAAAATTTAATTAAGGAAAAATTTTAAATATTGATCTAAATGTTCTTAAATAAATATATAAATTTTTAAGACTTACTCTACTTGAGTTAATTGGATAGTTGGAGCATACGGATGCACGATTTTTTCAAGTTCCGCTAATGCCACTCTGACTTCTTGAATAATACGTAAGTCCTGATCATTTAAAGCCATTTCAAATATTTCTATAGAGTATTGTGTCGGTAAAGGTAATAAAGGATGTGGATTCATTTGCAAAGCTCTTAAAACCCTGAACAGTAATAAACGACAATCAGAATGTTCTTTATAAAATTTTTGTTCACTAGTGCTTAGATAACATTCATATAGCAAAGGTATTACAATATTTTGTACAGTCTGAAAAAAAGTACAATCATTATATTCAATATTAAATTTTATAGTAAAATATGAAAATAAAAATCTTACTTTAAAACACGTTTCCTTTAAAAGAATTCCACTATTGAAAAATATATTTTGTAATATATCAAGAGCCATTTTACATATGTCTACATCTAGATAGTGTTCTTTATTAGAACTAATTTCATTATTCAAATATGTACCTTTTTCGTATTGACTATTTCGTAAACGCTTTAATGCTCTTTTTGATAAATTTTGTGTTTTTTGTATCTATAACAATGATATTACAATACGTTAAGTAAAGTTAATTAAATTTATCAAATATTGTAAACTTACAGTTAGTAACACACGATTTTTTTCTGGTACTGCATCTTTTAATATATATGGAAGATATTCATTTGCAACTGTTTCTATACCTGATAATGAATTAGTATTCATTAACCAAGAGTTAAGACATTTATAAACTGATATCCGTACATTTTTAAATGGTTTATTTCCATTAATTGTAATTTGATTTTCTGGAACACTTTCTGTCCATTGTAACGTTTGGAGAAACAGTTCTAATATTGTGGAACCAAATGGTATTATGTGTTCCTTAAATCTAGATACATTATAACCATAAATTTCATTTTAACAACAATTTATTATTTCTAAATTATAAGATCCTTACCCACTTATTAATGAATCTAAAACATTGAATAAAGCAATATGTAGCTCGGGTAAAATAAGATATAAAATTTGTTCTCTAATGGAATTTTGATTTCTTATATTGGATGGTTGTATGGCAAGTCCTCTACATAAAACTTTTAAAATATCATGTGGTAATACTGAATTCCTTTTACCAATTCCACTGTAAAATATAAGTTATTTAAATGATTTCTTTTTAATACATCAAATTTAGATTAATATTTATAAATTATCCTTTTACCATAACATATATGATAAATAAGAACATAAATTCACAAATCTCTGTTTTTGTTTAAAATAAAATTGAATAATATTTTCTTCAGATATATTAGACAATTCCAATTTATCCCAAATGTGCACATTTTCTAATTCTACTAAATTTGAAAATAATTCATCCATTATAGAATGTAAGCTATTACAAATAATTGCTTGATTATATGTCCAACAAGTATAATTTAATTTTGAAACTGGAGGTTTAAATGAACGCTCTGCTGCTCTTACTAAAAGAGCATAACATTTTGCACTTGCATTAACCAAATTTTCTTGGGAAGAATCAATTTGCAATAATATAATCTTTTTTATGGAGACCTGAAATATTAAAACATGTAATAATAAACAAGTATGTTTACAAATTATTTTGCTATTATGATACAGCACATTAATTACCTGATAACGTTCGCAAACTTCTGGATACTGATGTAATAATACAGCAATTAAATAATATATTGGGCCACATTGTTTTTCTATATTCATGTTACTAATTATATTAATAAGTTGTTTCACAGTTTGCATAGATACTTGCTTTTGTATTTCAGAAATATCTTTCGAATTGATAATCAAATATCCAAGGACTTTACAGACAAGGGATAATTCGTGTACAGTACTATGGATACTTTCTAACATTTGTGTAGCTTTTGACATCCATAATATACAATATTTAGAAAGAATATCTTTCGAGCATTGTGGCAAAATTTTGTCTAAAATTAATAAACCATTATACCGGGACTGTGATTCATTTAAATAGGTATTTATAGTTGATATAATGACATTTTGTGTCTTATCAACCTAAAAATATAATAATATATAATATAATAAAATATAAAGTAGTTTCTAAGCATAAGGTTATTTTCCAAAATATAATTATACCTCTTCTATATTAAATGGTGTATCTCCGTTGAAACATATCAAATGTTGTATAAATTCCTTATATTCTTTTGAATTATGATGAAAAAAGTTTATTAATTCCGTTACTATTGCCATTTTACTTCGATAACAATACACGTGTTTTCAATAATCTCATGAATGAGGTTAATTGTGAAAATACAATTATTTTCAATATAAAATACATAAAAAATAACTAAATAGCGTTAATTACATATATTCAACTGTAATGTACCAGTTTTTAAACAATATTAATAATTTAATTTTAGGAAAACGTATACAGTAAATCAGACATTTGAAAGTAGCTAAGCGCAGTAAACACTGAAAGTACTGTCCAAAACGAATTTCGACCTGCCATATCTATTGGGTGATTCTTGTAGAGTTTACCTTCCGGATCACAAATCCGTAAATTGCTCTATTATCTTCTGTTTTCAAAAAACACAAGTTTTTATAAAAAAAGCACGATTTTTGGCTGAAATGCAATATTAGATGAAAACTGAAATTGTTAAGAAGTTCATTCTTGTTTTAAAAGTTAGGTGAAAATTTCCAAAGTTTATTAATTAAGCATTATTTTTACATTTTTACAAAAAGTTCTTAGTCAGTACAGATTTGGTACAAAATATCGTATTCTATAAACTTTTTTGAAGAAGAAATCATTCAAAGAAAATATCGGGATGATCTTTCATGTGACAGGTCAGTAAAATATACATCGGTAACGCATGAACTGTGTTTTACCGCCGCACTAGAGTGGAATGCTATCGATAATATTATCGAGACTATCGGTAGAAGTAATTATCGATAGTTTTTCACTCTCACGCCATGCAACCATTGTCCGTCCGTTTAGCTTTATTAGGACCATAGTTACGCGTTATCAACATTAAAAGAGTCATTCAGATGATCTCATTTTCCACGTGCATAATAAGTACGTATTTTCATGTACCTTTCTATATTAATCACAGAATTTTACAAAATTTTTCTCAATTACTTGAAATTTTAAATAACTTCGGTGTTCAATACATAAATACGAATGGCTTCTTAATATGAAATCGTAAAAAAATGAACGCAGTTGTATATTACAGAGAAATTGTTTGAAACTAAGAACGCACTGAAAAAATTCTTTGTGATTTCATGGTTAATATCCAAAAATATATAAAACAATTAAACATATAAAAGACATGATCTTGTCGGGTATTTACTACTGACGCCGAATACGCGTAGCTACGGCACTGTCGAGTCAAGGAAGCGAGTGATAACTGTATGGCGGTAAAACACCGTGTACATGTTACCGACGAATATTTCCTCGATCTAATCAAATTGAAAACTGCTTCGACAGTTTTGTTGCATCATTTCTTTTGCAGAAAAGTATACAGAGTACGATACCGTGTAGCAAATTCGTGTCGGATGAAGAATTTCTTGTAAAAATACAAGAATAGTGCATATATAGTATGTTCGGTAAGTTATTTTTGAAATTTAACGACCAATTGTAAGTATTCAAAACTATAAACAATTATAGGCGTCGATAAACTCGGAAAAATCTCACCTAATCTTTAAGATGCAAATGAACCTCTTAACAATTTTAGTTTTTATGTAATACCTTATTTTAATCAAAAGTCGTGCGTTTTTACAAAAACTCGTGTTTTTTGAAAATCAAGGCTGATAGAGCAATTTTGTTTACAGGTTAGTGACCAGGAACGTAAACTTTGGAAGAATCACCTAGTGGGTATCGCAGATCAGAGAAAAAGTTAAAATTTGTTGAACAGTGGAATCTTTTACGCAATGCGATTGGCCTCAATCGTAAAAGGAATTATTATGTAATTTCGCAGCGTTCTCTGTGATGACGATTCATATATTTCTTTTTCTTTCATGGATGCAGAGAATCACGTGAATTGTTTAGTACTTTTCATATCATTTGTGATAACAGTTTATTCTTCACTACCATGAAATATAATTATAAAATAATAAATTTTTGAACGATTCTCATTTCAAATGCGTATACTAATGCATATACCATAATAATTAATTTCAAGATTCTCTATTACCTGTAATAAATAAATATTTCATAAATAGTTTTTGACACTTAATTGTTACATTATATCACTTTTGAAAATTTAATTCTAACCAAGTAGAAGTAAAAAAAGCTAGTTAGAGGTAAGTGAAATATAGTAATAATGGTAAATGTATAGCACAGCACATAGATAACAACCCGTGACAATGTAATGTTGCATGTAGAATGAAAAAAAGGAAATGTTGGTCATGCATTGTAGATATGAAATAAGCGAAACAACATTTATGTACATATACACATATAAGATGTATTAGAACATTGTGAATTGTCACATTTTGGGATAAAAATTGAAAGGTTGTTTACCTTCATATCAACTAACATATAAAGATTATATTTTGAGATAATATATTGTTAAAAAATGATGCAAGAACAACTGTAAGGATTCAGAGTACAGTTAAATTTTCAAATGTTTAATTAATCATTTTTGTAACATTTTCAGTGAAATTCTAATTTACAAAAATTAAAAAACTTTCAATTAAACTTGTATTGTATTGATATTTTAAAGTAAAATAAATGTAATACAAACTGGCCTATCATGATTATTTTTAATAAATTTTTGCAGTTCCTTATTTAAAAATGAAAATTAAAAATGAAATAATTATACCGAAAAAAAGTTATAATTTTTTGACTCTACTCATATTATTAATATTATGTTCTTTCTAATGAATGGAATATTATGTTTCTTCCATATGTAAATTTGACACATCATTCTAACAAACTGAAAATAATAAATTTGTGATTGTATAGTATTACGTATAGTTGAAAAAATTTAGTTATTACTTCCTAATCAATTAATCCAACTTCCTAATCCAATTATATATATGTAAACATCAAATAGTAAATAAGCTATCAGGTATTTAAAAATTGATTCTTTCTCTTTCTTTCTTCTCCCTAAACACTATAGTTTATAATGTTAAAAATATGGAGAAATCAACATACATATGTAATTAAATATACCTGCAAAAATATATTAATACAAACAATATAGAAATAAACATGGATAATCTATTAGTATAAAATAAAAAACAAACGCAAACCAGATAAGATAACATTTCCCTTAACATTCATATGAATAAACAATCCAGAGAAAATGTAAGGTATTCGCAAATAATTATAAGAATTAAAAGAGATAGCAGTTGGATATTAGTGTGCAAGGTAAAAATGGAATCACAGGAATACACAATATTACGTAGAAGAAAGAACTGAAAGGAAACAAGGATATTTCAATTACATTCACGTGCATACGGAGAAGCTCGCATACAGGCGCGGAACTGTGTTGAGCCCTAACGCCTACCGGCCATCCTCCTGCTTGATCAGGGCAGAGAGGTTTTCCCCCTCCTGCTGATTATGCCCTTCTTCCTCATCTGTACCGGCATCCTACGTCCTTCCTCTCGCCAACGAGACTCGCTCCGGCACTCGTTCCTTCTCGGATCAGTTCCCCTACCTACCGGTGTCCAGTTATGTTGTGGAGAACGTTGCTCGGGCAACAATTTGTTTGGACTTTTGTTTCGCGAGATATCCCGTAGGATCGTCCGTTTGATAAAGACGATACGTTTGTGTTACGTTATCGATCGTGCGTGCAGTGATCGTGAAAAGTACTCTTCCTCGGTTTTCTTCGATTTCTTGATAACTCTGTCGAGTCCCTTTACATTCCAGACCCACGCGTGCTTCTCGGTACGCAGGATCCGATGTGCTTGGTGATCACATTCGCGAAAAACCTGAAAAGTTGTTTCGATAAGCAACAACGACAGCAGCTTCGACCAATTTCTAGTTGGAATTTTCGACGATCTGATCAGGAATGCGGCGCGAATCGTTAACGGAAAATGGACATTAAAGAGGTATGTAAGTATAGCGAATAGCGGAATGGGATCTGTGCATACAGCCATATTGAAAACGGTTACCTTACGAGGGCGGTTGTCGCGACAGTTAGGAAAGAAACTTTCGAAGCGCGATTCGTTTTCTGCCGTTAGTGGCTTCTTTGCTTCCTTTACGGTCCGTGAGAGAGCGGACCCACCTTCTGACAGGTGGAATGCGGGAACCTAACATAGCCGTGGGGCCCGACAATCGCGATCGCAGCGACGCGGAGCGACTTGTTCAGGTATGTGCCTTTGCTTTGCCCGCGACTCTTGTCTTTTGCCTTTCCTTTGCTTTACTTTGCCTTCTTTCCTTTTCCTTCTCATTCCCTCGCTTCGCATTTATCGCGCCCCTTTTGATTTTCCTTCTTTCGCAACAAAAATACCATTCAATGATACTAGTTCTCATAGGTGCATTAATTTACAACCGTGGCGTCTTTTCCGACGGGTAATTCGTAATATGGGAATTGGTCTATGATAAGGTTACTCGTTCCTGTCCGTCATATGAACTGGAAGTCAAAAATGATTTGTTTTTGAACAGTTGAACAGACCGTGTATGTAAATATCATATAACTTTATCGTTTAGGGATAAGCAAATGGTGTACCACCGGATGTAAACCAGTTTTTGCATATCGTCTCGTGTCAGATTAATTTTAATACATACGTAATTTTAGACGCGAGAAAATATCCAATCTGTGTGGAAATTGTTCATCGTTAAAATGACACGAATTTTCAAGTTCTACTCGTATGGTAACGTTCGGCTAAATTTCCACGGAACCTAACCTAAAATCGAAACGGTTTAAACTACAGATAAATATTGTACAGATAAGTAAATATACATATACATTGAAATTATGAGCTTAATATACATGCAACTAATACGTTACTTATTCGTCTAATATTCAACGATTCCCGAAGTGATTATCACAAATACAGTCTCAACGATGTAACATATAATTTAGTCTCTGTTGTGGGTTCTCGCGGTGAGTGTACACAGCGTTCTCTAATGCGCTAATATCTAAACATGGTATAATGTGCACTCGTTGGACCTCGAAATGGTCTACTCGTAAAAAGCGTATATTATGTTATCTAGGAAGATTATTGTATGATAAATAACAAAATCGAACGATTTACCAACTGCTGCAAATATGTCGACGTCCTCGGATGTAGCCGCTCTATAA